AAAACTTTGTATGTGTTGATTTGAATCGAGCGGCAATATGTATTACAATCACTTTTAATCACATAAGTCAGATATTTCATAATTGCATAGGAAAAATTTGACGTTTGCACTTTAGTGGCTTGTTAAAACGTGTATTTTACGTGATTTTTTTTATCAATCTATAGAAAATAATCAACAAAGTGGCATCATTTTTGGATATTGTGTTTTCTACATGTATATATTTGTATTTACTTGTAACATATTTATTTATTAACTTACATTTTGATATAATGCAATCTATTTATTATTAATTACCATCTGTTAACATTAGAGATAACATTGCCAAACGAATCGTATAGCTTCGTACGATTGTTTTATTCTCTTCTATAATTAAAATATAATTAAAATATAATAAAATAAACGTACGAGCTTGCGGGTTAATATCGCGAGTGATATGCAAAGTATTCTGTTGATTATTGTGCGCGCGTAATTAACTGAACTGTATTGTTTCGAGTGTCGTGATAAAGTAGCAAAGGATGAACAAAAAAGGGAAAGAAGGCTCAGAGAGCAGGCGGAACAGCCGTGAGATAAATAATTTTTATAATTAATTATTTGTTACATGAAAAATTAATCGCTCATTTATCTCTGTGACACAATGATATATTTGACATTATTGTGTACTGTGTACTATATGTAAAGTATTTTAGATATTATTTTAAAATATTTTAAGTATTTCTAATAAATGTCACACATATATATTTTATTTTAATATATTGTGTATTTAGGATATATATTTTTTATGCATAATACTTTTTAAAAATTTATATCATAAAAAAATTTTTTTTTGCAAATTATATAAATTCTTTTATATTAAATATTTGTTTAAAAAACAGATGCTAAAAATTTAACTGCGCGAATATACAATAATTATTTCTTCCAAATTATTAATGATTTTGGATATTGCTTTATATACATATATAATATGGATATGTTGTATTTATATTTCATAAATCAATAACATATTCAGTATTATAATTCCGCATCCTATCGGAAAGTTCTAATTTGTTTAAATTTTGAATTAATTTACAAATATTATATTACGATACATCTTATTAAATCGCAGTCCAAACATTTATATACTAACTTTATAAAAAGTTCGACTATTAGAAACTAACACGTGAAAAAGTAATATGTAATAAATGTAATCGAAGATATATGAAGAGACTATTGTTAGCTAGCAAGATTGCTCGATCGTGTTTTATCTTTTCCAATTTCTCTTTTTTTACTGCAGTATTCTATACAAAGGCAAGTTAGATAACATTATATTGCAAGTTTGTACTGATATTTTTCGCGATATTTTTACTTGTGTGGCGGTTTAATCTTTACACTTCGGTAGATTGAAATAATGTTTTTACGCATTGTGTTTACATCGTTGTATGTATCCAAAGTGCTGTAATGTAAAGACAATTAGAAGAAAATTAGTTCTATAAATAACATAAAAAACGAATTTCTCATTGCGAAATATATATATTTTATATTTTGATAAGCGCGAACAAGTTAATTAAGTGCCGAGCGCGGTAAACAGTGTACTGATTATTTTATATATACATACATATTCCTTATTTATTTTGATATTTTTTAAATTTGTTTCTTATTTATTTCGTACATTTTGATCCTTTTCCTAGTGTAGGATTATCTTCAGCAATTGTCAAAATTTTATGTAGCGTGGATTGTCAATACAAAATCATATAAATGATATATAACCTCATAAGATTAAATGCTGAAATAAATAATATATAAAAAAATAATCAGCCCACACTATTTATCGCACCCGGCTCTTAATTAACTCGTTCGTTCTTACCAAAATAATTCATATCATAACCTTTTACTTAATTCTAATATGTATTTTATTTGCCTTGTAAAATAAACGCTAATTGCGTTAACTTGTATTTGCAAAACTCTTGAAACTCGACTGGATTATTCAGTGTACTTTAATTGGCTGACGCACTCGCGAATTATACAGCATTTCACGAATATTATCGATAATGGAAAATATCGAGTAGCTATTTAAACTCGTGAAGTTAATTTAAATTGAAACACTTAATAACTAACCAACAATAAGCGCGAGTACCTTTTTGAGCAAGGTAGCAATATAATAAACAACAAAAATGCCAGAGCACGCGTATGTGTATATGTACCTATAGTTAAACCTTTTAAAAGCAATTTTGACTTTTGCAATTAGCTGATTGTGCATTAAGACGTGAGATATAATGACTGCTACGATCGTGCAATGTACACGCAACACGACGAATTCGTTCGACTCATCGTGGAAGCTTGTCTGAAAATCAAGATTTTTACCTGAAACTCATTTAACTTTTGCAATACGATAGCCCCTCTTTCTCTCTGATGTTACACGATGTAAAAAATTTATAGGGCAGCTATGGTAGAGCTTTATTTTATCATAGTATATGAGTCTCTCTTGTTTTCATTTTTGATACAACAATTTTCAAATAATTTCGCCACTCAATAATATTTTCTCATCATGTTATTTTATTGACAAAGGATTGTTTCTAATTTTACTTTTATGCCAAAATTTTTAAAACGATAGATGTATGCATGAAAATTCTGTGTTATTTCAATATTGATAATCACTCTTAATACATGATTTTGCTCTCGCGAAGATGTATCTCGAAGATGAAATTGAAATAACATCGGAGAAGCGCATGTAGAGAATTCGACGACACTCATTTTCAGTAGACTTTATCGACTTCCGCGGAGACCCAGTGATTAAACGAGTGGAAGTTTGCCAGTACGGCAAACGATTTATTGCCAATAGTAGGTAGGCGACGTTTTGACGTCGGGAATTTGCCTTCTCGAGATAAATGCTCTTGCTTGTGACGGAAATGCAAGAATAATAAAATTTACAAGAATAAGTCCGGTCAAATTATGTAGACACATATGTAGATATGTGTGTCTATGCTTAAAGAGCTATCTGTTATCGATTTAAAGAGAATTCCGTTTTTCCCTTTCTCGACGATCATTATGTAAATCATACGTGCAGCATCGTCGAGAGATCTAAGACAATTTCTTTTTTTTAAGAGATACGGTTTACGTCATTATAAAGTTCTATTATATCTCACATTTCTATCGAAAATAAGGAATCACAATATATAATAAATAAATATTCTGTAGATATGTATTTCTGTATTAATAAGATTTCGCGTAATGTCCTCTTTAAAACTATTTATACTTGTTATTTTATCGCAATAATTCATCGTAGAGAGACTTCGCGTTATTATCTTAGCAAATGAAAAAACTTTAAAGATATAAAAACATATTCGGTATGCAAATAAAAATAAAAAGCGAATAAGAAAAGAATTGTGTTTTCAAGATTTATCAGATATTCACGATACTTTTTCCGATCATCTCAGTCACGATAAAAGTTCGCAAGTTTATGCTAGAGTGATCGAGGACAATAAATCATTTTCCTATTACGACAGTATGTTTGAAACATCTTCTGTTCGAGAGTATATAATATCGATGTTCCTTGCCAAATGTATAATTCATTTTGAAAGCGCAACGGGGAATAAATGCTGCGGGTCGATGATTCCATCCGATCAACAATCCGTTTATCATCTATACTAATCGCGATTATCGGATTGTCGCAAATCTTGGAAATTTATTCGTGTGTATATTAAAGGGCAATATCTGTTTAAAATGCTCGATTTTTCATTTATAGCGTAATATTTTAATCGCATCCATATTAGTCTTTGGAATTAAACTTTGAACTGAGTTTTAATAAACTTTGTAAAAGATGTTAATAAGTATATAGTATGCAGTTTTTTAGACAAGAGAATTTCTTTGTGACAAGAATTTACATTTTTTCATTTATTGTGAACATTTTGCCCTTTTCAATTGTGTCGTTACCACTTTTTTATTTGCAGCATTTTTAACCAGAATAGCATGACAGTCGGTTATTACGCGTAAAGGTTAACTGCAAGAATTTTAATATCGAGATGGTCAGTTGCTGGGGAAATAGCATTGTGCTGTCAATGACACAATTTTTATGATCTACGCGCTATAAAATAATGTTGATATGAATATTTCTAAGAGACGTTGCAGTGCGTCAGTTTTTTTTTTCGCAGGCATTATTAAAGAAAGTGTTACTTTATTACAAAATAATAAATCACATTACAGAGTTTATATTTACATTTACATGTTTTGATGTTTTCCCACGTATCATTAAGTATCGCGTTTCTAGACTCGTACACAGTTGTTTGTTCAGCGTATATATCAAGATTGAGTTAATCGGTTCGATCGTGGAAAGATACTATATTCACCTTTAAGGAATGGTAGAACACGTTTCTCTGTGGATTAAGATGTCGCCGTCTAATCGGATTCAGACCGAGTATTGACGCGAATACAAAGAAGGTGACGTAAAACTAAGGATGGGTAAAATGTGATCTCGATAGAATATATATCTTGGAAGATTATTTTGTCGAACCTCGTCCGCGTCATTTGATTCTGTTGCCAATCTCTCGTGAAGATTCTCGCATACTCAGATATTTTTCCATCCAATTGAGATTAGATACATAAATTGGTTCTCCAATTTCGCCATTCGAACCTGATGAATTATCGATTAGTTCGCTAAGACGAAATAAACTTTGCATCTTGAACAATATTCTCTCCCCACGCACGTAAAATAAAAAAAAAAGAAAGTCTATAATTGCATGCGATGAATCTAATTGTAAACGAGAACTTTGACATTTCTGATGTGCACGTTAGAAAATAATTATTCCGCTACAAACGACATTTATGACATGCACACGGCATTTATATCGTATTTCTGAATTCGACGTTTTCTGCAACGCGCTCTATATTTGTATCTATAAAGGAAGAGTTTAACATTGACGTCATTAATAATTATAATTAATGGAATCAAGAGAGAGTGACATCTGGGGATAATTAGTAGCGTAGATCCTTATCGTAATATTATGTGAATATAACGAACAAGTTTCTCATTAATTTTAATTATTTTAACAATTTTTATATTTTTTATTTATACAATGTTAATAAAAGAGATAATGATAGTAGAATTATTTGAAGGGAAGCAACATATTCCATTGCAGCATTAGAAATTAGAACCATCGAAACGTTTGCTGGGACGATGACATTATTCAGCGCAAATGTTTTGCTGAAAAAAAAAATACAAAGATATAAGATCAAGTTCTTTTTGCAGTTGCGTTATTTGAAATGTATATGTATTAATGATGTTAATATATTAATTAGTTACTTAAGATTACTACTTACTTTTGTTTTACTTGGGCGCCCACGCTCGTTATTTTAACCATGCCGTTCTCGAATTGCGTTAAATTTTTAGTTAAATCAACTTTTTGTATATCTGTGTCTGAAAAATTTATCAGTAATATCACTTCTTCTTTACTCGTTTTTCGTAGGACGCATAATACGGTGTTGTTTATAACGTCGGTGGTCAATGATCCAAATTTGAGCGCGTCCGATGTATTACGTAGCTCTGTCAAAGCGCGATAGACACGATAGTGAGATTCGTTCACAAACTTTTCTACTACCAAATTTACGTCAATATAATTTTCGTGAACCGGTAACCATGTCTTCTTAGCTTTACTGAAACCTGTGAAAGTTAATAAAAAATAATAAGTGACGAAGTAGCACAAGATTTTATATCGCGAATTTTGTAGGCATTTTTTCACAATTTAAAGTGTTTGATTTCCGAAACATTCAATTTGCACATTATTAATAAATGAAATTTCTTCCAGTATCTATAATCGAGAGTGTGTATGTATATACATATACCTGCGTTAACGTCAAAACTCCATTGGAATGGTGTGCGAGCGGGATCGCGAGAACGACTTTGGTACTTTTCTTCGCCCGCGTTACAAGCTTGAGGATCCTGTGTATCGTTCCAACTTATGTCCATTTTATCAACCATCCCTATTTCTTCGCCATAGTAGGTGACTGCTACACCTGGCAATATCATGGCTAACATTGTCATCTGATCGGTTCTCCCGGGGAAACGCGAAGCGATACGATTATTATCGTGATTTCCCATCTACAATTACGAATATTTTGTTCACTTGTAGATTATACAAAGTATTGGCCATTTTGTGTGTGTGTGCGTAAATTAAAGTATCGCTCAGCATGCAATTGTGTAATCGTTGTAATGCAGTTGTCATTGAAATACGCTTCAAATTATATATTATAACGCATTTACATTGATTATATTATTATGTACTGAATTACTGCAATCGTGCATTTTTTAAATGCCATTTGTGGCTTGGCTTTAATCGTCGAAGCGTTTAATATCATTAAACAATTCTTGATTCACACTCGGATCTTTTTTATAATTTATGCTTATCACAAACATAATTATTAAATTAACGCGAACAGTAGTTAACATGCATTTATTATACATGTATATTGCAAATTAAATTCAATAACGTAAATTTAAATATTTGAAAAATTTTCGCGTTCGAATAATTTTAAATGGATTTACATTTTGTCGTTATAATTGCTATTAAACTTTCCTCTATCAACGAAAAGAATTTTAATAATAATATTTTGCGACAAGTTATCGGATTGAATAATTTCCAAGTTAAATATTTTCGTATTATTGTGTGATACAAAATTATGAAGTAGATGGGAATAACGTTTATTTACCACCCAGTTAGCGACGCCACCGTTGGGAATTCCCTTCATCCAATCATCTATTATATTTTTAAACATAGTAGCATTCGAAGCGTTATTCGCCTTCGTGATAAAATTAAAGTTGAAAGGAATATGGGAACCGTAATTGTAATATTTAATAGTGTTTTCTAATGTGGTGTATGCTTCAGTCATCATCACCTGGTGTATGCAAACAAAAAGATGAATTATTGTAAATTAATATAATTCTAATAAAATATAATATCGAAGTATATATAATGCGTTAAATTAATTTTAACTTTTTAAAAAACATATATTATTGTACGTAGTATATGGAACGTTAAAAGTAAAAAATACAACCTTTTCGCTTGTATTATATTGATCAGCATATTCGTCTAAAATCCTCCTCCAGCTTTGCACCAATTCGTACGTCTCTGGCAGATCCTTGGTCAATACGTGATTTAGATAGTCGTGATCATCTTTCGTCACGCCTTCTTTACCGCTTTTAGGTTCGTCTAAAGTGTAATTTGCTTCAAAAAGATACGGTACCGCGTCCACGCGAAATCCGTCCACGCCTTTCCTCAACCAAAACAAGATAACTTCCTAAAGCGACAAATGAACATACAGATGATTTAATAATTGCATTCCGTATATATCTGCGCCGTGAATCTTCTCTTTAATCGAGGAATATTGCCGGTTTAATAACTCCTCGTAAAATATAATTATACCTTCATTTCCTCTTGTACATCGGGATTAGTATAATTCAAATCTGGCTGCCTTTTGTGAAATTGATGAAGGTACCATTGGTTGCGGGTTAAATTGTAAGACCAAGCCCGGCCACCGAACAAACTTATCCAGTTATTGGGTGGCGATGTATTATTATCTTCTCCATCTGCCCATATATAATAGTGTTCATATTTGCCTGTACGATTTATGCTCTCTCGAAACCAATAATGCTCGTCGGAAGTATGATTAGGCACGAGATCGAGTATAACCTGGGAATTTAAATGAAAATTACATATTAATAAAATTCGATGAAATTGTCACTGGTATTTAAACCGTTCGCTTTAAAATGGACTTATTTGTCTAGGCCGACGCAAAAATTTTATTTTTGATTACCTTCAATCCAAGTTCTTTAGCGCGTGTTAAAAGATTTTGAAAATCCGACATTGTGCCGAATATTTTGTCGATATCTTTGAAATCCGAAATATCGTACCCAAAATCGACCATTGGACTTCGATTGATAGGTGACAGCCATATCGCTCCTACTCCAGATGTCACAAAATGTTCGAGTTTACTCGTTACACCTATTACGAACGGAAAAAGATTGATACGTGAATGACAGTATTGTAATTTTGTGATAACGTGACTTTCAACGTTTAACTGTATAAAAGACTTGCTGTCTGATCAACTGTGATTTTTCAACGTGATAAAAATAATTCATGTAAAATATTTATACAAAACGATAATCTTTTATAGAATTATAATTTAAATAAAGTGTTTAAATTATAATAAGAAAATTTTTATGAAACCCTTTTGAAATAATACGTAACATTAGTAAATATTGTATATGTATATATACTATCAGATAAGAATTTTTATCATGGAAAGATTATGAAGAACATGGAGACTTGCAGTGCAATTTCAATGGAGTTCATTTATTATATTTTACGTCGCATTTTTTCCGATTTTATATATTGTTTAACAAGATTTACGATGTAAAAATTATCGTAATATTTAACGTTATGGGTATTTTATGCTAATTTATTTAAACTTGTTTTAAATCATGAATAATGAATAATGAATAATAACACATATCAGCAACGTTAATGATTAAGAATAAACGCACACACATAAAAACATTTGAATATAATAACAGAGAAAATACAGATAGAATCGAGCAAAATTATGCGAAGAGAGTTGCAGTAAATCGGAATGAGATGAGGAAGAAAACAGAGAGGAAAATAAATTCAAATATATTATTTAAATTTATACAGCGACTTTAACGAGAATTAGATAAAGTTTTGATTTTATCGCAATATTTATATTGCAAATGCAACGTGTCACAGAACTGTCACGGGTAAATCCACTATGACAATGGAAGTTACGTTCCCGTTACGAAATTGTTTTGTCTCGACGGACGATGTGTAATTACGCTAGGCAGGCGCGTTACAGCGTCATTTTCATCGATGCTTATCGCGAAAATCATTATGTGGTGGAAGACGAGGCGTATAGAAGAGGCCGAAAGAGAGGTAAATTCAATGCAATCTGTTTCGTCGAGAGCACCTGATTCGTTCTCTCTTACCTTTGAGATCACCAACACCGTCATTGTCAGAGTCCATAAAACTACGAGGATAAATCTGATAGAAAACCGTGTGGTTCCACCATCCTCGGTTCAGGATCTCCCCCGAGATGAGGGTGGTCGTCAACAGCAGACACGAGAGGATGATGTGGTGCCGCGACACGAGCATCTTCACGATTACGTAGCGCGTTTCTCGACGTCGTAGTATATATGTGAAGCGGACGATGTTGGTAGAAAGAAGGTGCTTTATCGAGTGAATCGGAAAAATCGCACGGTCTCGCGATAATTGTCATGTCGTCCGTGGGGGAGGTAGCACTTATCCAGGGTTGGCCGGTATATAATAGATTGCAGATAACGATGCGTTGTTTCGCGCAAACATCATTCCATAAAGTGATATGATTTCTCCGAAGGATGACAATGAAACGCAAGCTGGGTAAGAAAACGGCCACAAAAGATTCTCCAATTTTTCTTACCGTCCGTATCAGAAAAACAGAGACAACTTAAATAGGAATACACATTTTAATTTTCAGAAATTCAGTTAATTCACGTTAATCATATTATTCGCATAATTGATTTCTCAGTCTGAGAACAAGCCTTTAGATTTGTGAGGATCTGTTACAGAGATTTTACTTTCCGCGCGATTAATTGCGGCAATTTCTTTTTGATTTGATTACATTCTCGTTCGATAAGCATTTTTCATTTTAAGATTTCTCTTACGAGGAAATTTAATTACGGATTGAATTACTGGTTCGTTTATCGAAAATTAAAGGATCTCACTTTTAATTAAGTCGCGGGCAATTTTTTCCCCAAGAAAAGTTTCAAGTCTAATTATTCTATGAACTTGGAGCTTATAATTAATGGGAAGGGCGTGAACGCTTTAACTATACAAGACAACATACATTGCACACATATGACAAAATTATGTTCGCGAGAGATATTGCGTGTTTCTCTACCATTTACAACATTATCAGTGATACAAAGATAATTATAGGCGATATCTATTGCGGTATTATCGGGCATGACACTTATTGTGATACTGAAATGTAGATATAGATTCTCACACACACACACACACACACACACACACAGATTAATCTTCATGAAATCAAGACTATCATCAATAAAATAATTCATATATAATCACATATTATGCGTTTTTAAATCATTTTATACTTATTAATTATATTAAACCATATATTTTATTTTAGATACTGTGTTTATACATTTTAAATTTGTAAAATATTTAAATGATTAAATTATTAAAAATACTTTAACTATTACTTCCAATGTCATTATTATATATTATTTTGCTTTTAGAGCATACGCATGAGTGATAGGACGCGTTTATTGATTAAAATTATGTTATAGTGATATGATTTGTAATATAACAACGTTTCGTAATATATTCTAGAACATATAGTGCATTATATACACATGGAGATATATAGAATGGTCAACGAAACTGTGTAAAATCACGTGAGAGAAAAGTCAATATTTCTTTTTAAATAATATCTTTTTAAACTTGATACATATAACTCAAACACAGATTTCACTTTCCAAATTGCGACCTATTCAATAATTGCGTTATAAATTTTATAGGAAGTAATTATAATCTGATTTGTTGTAAGTCTAACGACATTGCATATCGATCACAGTTTTTATCTTAACAACTTTTATGATAAATTAGATAAGGGATTGATAGACAACAGGAAATTGAATCAGAGGGATATCAGGTAAAAAGACTCGATTATAATGGTATTAAATGTCACTTAAAAATTCAATTTTTACAAAAATAAACTTTTGCATAACTTATACAAACTTGAGAATTTTGTGTATCGATTACCGTTTCGTAATGTACATATATTCCGCAAAATTTGTAGTCGGCACCGGTTATTTAAGTGGAGAGCGTCGCAACGACGAAAATAATCTTTATTCTCGGAGAACCGTGCAAAAGTTTTGACATTCTTTCTTTCTTCCCTCTCTTAAACTTTGAATTTTCATTAAATAATTGCAACTCTTGTATAACCCGCTGCCACACGCGAGAGAGCTAAAGTTTTTCCTAGTATAACGCAGTTGTGAAGAAAGTTCAAGATAGAATTATTGCATTGTTGATTGCATTGTTAGAAACAGATAGAATTAAATCATAATATAGGTTTTTTTTATTTACATTTAATATAATAGCCGGAATTATAAATAAATAAAGAAGTGTTTAACAAAAGCGCGTCGTCAATTATTATATTAGGATCTTGAATAAGTTTCCATCGGTTTTTTTTAAAGTAAATAAAAGACATTGGTTATTGATGCAAGAACAAAGAATCATTTATTCGAAGTATTGCCCATCAGAAGTTACAACATTTTCCCACTTTTTACGCAAAAGATGGATTCTACGGTAGAAAAATTCCTGGTCTTTTGAAACGATCCAGTCATCAAGCCATTTTTTGATATTTTCATAAAAAGTGAACCGCTGTCCAGAAAAGGCTGACTGCATCGATCGAAATAAATGGTAATCTGATGAAGCTATGTCTGGTGAATACGGCGAGTAAGATAGGACTTCTCAGTTTAGTCGTTCCAAAGTTTCCTTAACTGATTTGTGGTTCTATGAAAAATAATCTTATCATGTTTTGTAGCGTATTTTGGTCTTTTTTAATGCAATGCTTGATTTAATTTCATTAATTGTTGTTTATAATGATAAGCTTTCAGAAGCAATCGGTGACTTTCAGCAGCACTTTTTTTGATTTTGAAGAAATACAATATTTCCTGCAAATGCTCTTTTTTGGTGCAAAATTTTCTATTTTAGATGACTAAATAACCACATTGTTGAACGCTTCAGTGAACTGTCATATATTCAAAATGAAGTTTGATTCAAGTACTTTCATACACATATAATGCTAATTTCAAATTAATGTAAATTTATTTACTTACGCCATCTCTTGGAAAATGAAAACTTATTCAAGATCCTAATATTTTAAATATGAATTTCAATTCATATTTTATACAATACATATACATAACATTCAATATAAAACAATGTTATTATATTGTCTTTGTAGCGAAAAAATGCGGACAAGTAGTAAACGCAACACGAAATGCACAAAGTGCAATAATCAATGTTAATGAGTGTATATATAAAAATCTAAATATATTGCGGGATTCAATCCATTGATTAATCCATGGATATCCATGCAAATTCATATTTATACAGTTTCGGAATACCAGGCAACTTGAAATACATTCTTCAATACATACAATTTAAAAAATTAAATTTCTCCGTTGTGCAACAGAAATGCGACAAATTTGAGTTTTGAATATGCCATGCAGCAAGCTTTCTCTCTCTCTCTCTCTCTCTTCGTTGTATTTGCGATAATTATATGCGGATACTGCAAATCTACATTATTAAATGGGGAGAAGGGTTTACAGCTTACTAAAATACAAATACAGATATCAGTGTCATGTAAAGATCAACGCGAATTAATATTTTAGGCAAAAGTAGAAAGTATTATCTATTTGAGATTTTACATTACGATTATATCAATTTTAGTACTGTTTCTTTATTTATTTATTAATCGCAAACATATTGAAATTAAATGTATGGAGAACGTGGGAATTTTATTTATCCATATGTTGATGTTATATGCATGGATAACTCTTTTCCATAATTTCTTTTGTTTAATGTCAAAATTGGTCAGGTGAAAAATAAAAGTAGCATAGTATTAGGATCGATTAAAATTATTAGTTTAAAAAAGACATTTTTTTTAATAAATCTTTTATGCGAGAACTAATTTATAATTAATATTATATAACTTATGAGGAGGGAGACGAGGTATTTACATAACAAACTTTGTATAAAAATACGATTTCAATATTGATTATATCAATTATATATTTCTGCAATGTTATAATTGTCTTTTTTAATACAGACTTTAAACGTGGCAAATCTTTTCGCGTCATAATTTATGGGATTCTTTTTCTATAAAATAATGATTGCTTAAAAGGATGATTAAAAGATAGTTCGTGTAATGTGTACTAAGAGTTTGAGAGTAGCCGGTATAACTAATTTAAATTAGCTGTCAGGAATGACAGCCAATTGACAAATGTTGAAGAAAATAAAATAGGAGGAAAATTAAATTAAATTTCCAATTTACATCTTTAAAGCATTCGATGCGGGAGGAATCGACTGTCGAGGAATTGGAAATTGGTTGGAAATGCACGATATGCGAATATATTTAATATGAACCATAACTGAAATTTAATGACATACATGTAAATATCAAATTGTGTTAAATAATTAAAAATACAATAATTATTTTTTAAAACTTTTATTTTGTTTTCCTCAATTTTTACATTCACGGAAAAATGTAATATTTACAATTGTAATTATTGCGAACAGTTGAAAAAAAAGTTATTATTAATTACATTTTAACGTTCTTAATATTCCATCTATTGCTTTCTCTAACATAACACTTCATCTTTATCTATGACAATGAGCCGTTATCATTTATTTCTATGAGCGTAGTATTCTGTGTTGTAGGTAAATTTAGTTGATAAAATATGTAAAGCGTGAATAAATAAAACAGCAATGTTATGTGCATATAGAAATAGTAAGGTAAGATGGAGAGTAGAGAGAATCATTGTATGACTGAATCTCTTCTCTTCGCTTAGTAAATTATGGAAATAACATTGAAAGTATAGTACCTCGTTCGTTTCCTTAGCTTTTCACACGGTTTTACGCATCGTTAAATATATATACCACAGCTGCCAATGCGGGGATTTTCAAGGCATGAACATTTGCAATAGACCTAAACATTACAGAGATAACATTATAAAAGTCGCGATAAGCATTCGAGATAATGTAAGATAATGTTTATAAAATCTCTTTTATGTCCTATATACATGCATATGCTTTATTATCTTTATCTAGTAACGAACGTATACGACTGAAAAAAATATATGCTTACCCAATTAAATTATGAGCATTCGTAGTGGCATAGTAAACGTTCATTTGAGATCCCTTCACGAGTGACGAGAAATCGACAGTTTCATCTTCATTTCCAAAGTTTATCGCTACGTAAACTCCATTTTTGTCACTTTTTCTGTAATAAGAAAGAGAGAGTGTGCTTTTTCCTGATTTTTGAGAAAATTAAATATTAAATAATATTATGTGTATGTCGAAGAATTAAAAATATATTTTTTAATATTTGAAACACATTCACGTATATTAAATAATAATAATATAAAGATAATTCTTGTCATACACATTTGTGACATTTTACTATACCTGGCAAAAGCAAGAACATTATTGCCTAATAATTTTGTGGTCAAGGTACCCTGATTAACAGCCACAGATTTTCGTAGATCAGAAACTGCTTTATATAGAGCATAATACGAGTCGTCCTGTTGCTTTTGCGCGGCCAAATTAAGCGTTCTGTAGTTTTCGTTAACCGGTAACCACGTATTTGGGTTCGTAGAGAATCCTAGAATTATCAATAAATTAAATTATTTTATTTTATAATAAATGTATAACGTATATGCATCGTGTACAAACAATACAATGATATGCGATACGACCATTTTTTCGACCATTTGGGATTTTTTCTAGGTTGAAAAGCGACAAATGCACAGAGAGAGAAAGAGAGACAACCGACAGGATGTTGTATAGCATATTGCAACATGATCGATAAGCGACCTGTTTCATCTCGGGTTTTTCACCCACTTTCTTTTCGAAATCTCAAAATGTGACGCGTGACCTGACAAACGTATCGCGCGTTGATCCTCGATATGTGGAGCAGGACATGAGGCTGACGTTAAAGCGGAGCGTTACAAACCGGTTTCTATCGCGCTACCGGTTATTTCGTGCAATTTCTTTCGCTATTTATTAACAGATGATCATTAATCGTCGCTCGATTTTCGTAAAGAAGACATTTATTTGCAAAGGATCTCGTTCTCGCTATTAAAATTCCAATAATGACGCGAAATATATTCTCGCGCTTGAAAATTATTTAATAAATTCGCAAAGTGACGTACTATATTGTCTTACGATGATCCGAATATCTATTCTTCTTGCGTTGATATGAAACAGGGTAGCTTTACATATCTTTTAGTTATATCTCATTGTTAGTTGAATCGCTTGCACAAATTTTCTCAAAGGGTGTTTCTACTAGAATAGACAATAACTAGCTTAAATCGAGTTTCACTGGCTGGTGGATTAACACAATGATTTTCGAAGTTGCTCGAACCGATACCTACCAGCCGAAGTGGTATTGTCCCACTGGAATGGCGTCCTTACAGGATCTCGAGATGCCTTCTCGTAACCTTCCTTGCCGGCGTTGCAACCTTGCGGATCTTTGGTATCTTCCCACGAGATCCATGTATTCTCCATGCCAATTTCGTCGCCGTTGTAAGTCACACTTACGTCCGGAAGCAGTAGAGTCATCATCGTTACGACTTGCGCTCGTTCCCGTCCGTAACGCGTCACCAATCTGGAGTTGTCGTGATTCCCAGCCTGTGAAAAGAGAAGTTTAGGAAACTTGCTCTACGACTCTACATTGTCGAGCTTGAATGTAAAAATCAATAGGTATCAAATATGATGACATATTTCGAATTGGTTTCCAAGTTTAAAAAATTCAAGCAGCTAATAATAGTTCTCGAGGTGAAAAAAATTTCACACCTCTCTTATGCAAATGAGAACGATTGAGATCTTGACGAGCTGAAAAAACAACTGACTTACCACCCAGTTTGCGGTACCGTGGACAAACGGCATGTTTAGCATCCAGTCATCGATCACACTCTTAAAATCGGCCGCTGTAGAATCGTTATTCGTCTGGCTAAGCAGACCGAAATTGAAGGGAAAGTGCGCCCCGTATATGTAATACTTCATTGTCATCGTCATGTTCGCGTAAGCCTCCATCATTATAACTTTGTCCTGATACTCGTCCGTCACTTCTCGCCATCCTTTGACAATGTCATAGGTGTGATCCTGATCTTTGGTATATATCTTCTCCGTGTAACCGTAATCGTCGGGATTCGGATTACCCGTGAGTGGTTCGTCCAAGAATCTGACGTCCTCGCACAGATGTGGTATCGCGTCTATCCGGAATCCGTCCACCCCTTGTCGAGCCAAAATCTCAGGACGTCCTGGGAGAGGGCAGAGTTAGAAAGAGAGAACGGTAAAGCTCTATACATATATCTTTCAGATCTATGTATATACAGATTCAAGTGGATTAAACCACTGTACACTGCTGTGTGTCTTAAAGATATTCATCTAAAACGATAGTTTACACAGCACATCCCAAATTAATTTAATTAATTATCCCTCTTTGATTCATAGAAATCCGATTGTTCGTTTCTCTCGTATACGCGTATAAATATAAGGATACAGAAAAGTTTACAATTATAATTTTTGTAATGGGATATATTTATTATTTCATATTTATTATTTATTATTTCCGATATTAATTTATTATTATTTTAGTACATATTTATTATTTTCTGTCAAATTGAATTAATTAGGGAAAAAAGAGAGATAAACATTGCATCAAAATTTACGAAGCGAGATAAAATGTAAAAAATAATTTTTTTTTTTTATAATATAACATCTGATAATACTGATTTGCAAAAAGCAAACAATGTTACATTCCTTCCTCTCAGTTTCATCCGACTTTATGTTACGAATGTGGCATGTCTCGGGCAAATTTTGTGACATAAAGGATTTGGAGAAATTGAGGCTGCGATAAGAAGCATCTCGCCGTGAAGCAATTTTGCGGTTATGGATGGAAAGAAATTGAATAAAACCTCGACATCTGTGATGGCGCGAGTATATTATATGTGTATATATATGTTTGTTTGTAAAAGAAGATTTTATCCAACAAATACGTAATTGTCCTTCCAGTAATTATTGATTGCGGACATACACAATGATACGTTTGACATATTTTTATGTATTTTCGATTTTAAATTTTGCAAAGCTTTTAACGCCAACGGAAAAATGATCGCAGATTGTATCGCGCGAGCTTACTGCACTATTTGCTGCACGATAGTTTGTCCAATTCGTGGATTTTATTGCGTGTACCGGTGTACTTTACAACTTTCTGTATTACGACTGGATATTCCACCGTTTCACTGTTTCTCAAATTACGCGCGCAGGATTTGATTGCAGAAATATGAATATCCTGCGAAACTTTCACGTACTAAAATTCCATCGACTCTGTAGAAAGAGAGAGAGAGAGGAAAAAAGGGTGAGCTAGTTATAACGGAAAACTTGACCTTTCGCCTTTATTTAAGTGCGAATAATTTGTTTGAAAGTTGTTATTCCGGCTCGGCGAACTTTTGTTTTTGTTAAATTGATCGTAATTATCTTGCTTCACGCCCGCTGGACATTTGTCACCGAACATTATCGATCGTCTTACGCGGTTAAATCACATTAACGTCCGATTCTTCCCGCGACATTTTAAACGTTCGTCGCCTCTGAAAAATTGGACAAGCATTGTGTCTACTTCCTGATTCATTCCGTGAACATAATTTCACGCTCGTTGAGTTTGCGAACACGAACGACTAATTGCGTCCGCTTCCCGACGACGCGATCGAGGAAAAAACACTCATCTGTCAATTTTAGACACGTTTCAACGTTGACGTTTGTCGCGTTATAATAAATAAATTATCACCGATGAGATAAGTATCCTACACGCGATGTGAATTGTTTCCTATCCGTTTGCGCGTGTACGATCTTTCTGAAATAAATTTCGCGAGCGAATTACGCGTCGAGGGAAGAACGAAGGGAAGGAAAAAGGGAAAAAACGGAACGATGTTTTCCCTTCATTCCACGGCGCATTCGAGAAGAACGGAAAATCTCTCTCTATGCGTGCGCGCGTACGACGCGACGCGATGATGACGGAAAAAGCAATGTCCTTGCCGAGCGTGTTATACAGCTCGGATTTATTTTCACCCCTAGTGACATCGACGATGTTGTGTAATCCACCGTCTCTATTCTGTCGCCGCGCCGCGGTTGTTCGAGAAACAACGTGATAACAAGCGATAATCCGCTATTTCTCTGCTTTGATCGCATAGGATGGATGTTTAATTATCGACATTTTTTTTATATCAAACTGCAATTGGGCCTGTTGTTAGATTTTACTTTCAAGTTGTTAACTAATTCGCGACTGTAAGATGACAGTTTTGTGTGAAACGTATCGCGAGCTAGAATCGTAATTTTATATCAAATAGAATTATGAGTCCGTCAAGATACAAGAGAGAAGAATCGAAAACTTAATGATAGCTTTTTTACCAATAATACGTACCTTCATCTCGCTCACTACGTTCTCGTTCTCATAGTTGAGGTCGGGTTGCTCCACTACGAATTGATGAAGATAATACGCTTGTCGTTCTTCACGCCAGGTCCATGCTGCATTGCCGAACACGCTCACCTATACGTGTAGATAATCGTTCAGTTGTCCCGATTAATTGATTATACCTTGAAAGCTTTAACGACAGATATAGAACAGACGGAGATCGAGTACGTCGAGCTAGGACATTTCGAAGAATATATATGTATTGCGGATTCGCGCTGCGTTGATCGGAATATATTGTTTCGCGTTATATCGATCCTATACGTGGTTTGGATATTTCCAATTCGGCGAGACTCGTAAGTAATCGCAATGATGGATCGTCGGTTAACTTTGACGCCGAGAAACGTGGAAAGAACATTTTTCAGATATTAGAGCTATAATCGATTTCGCGACGAATAAGAAAGAGTACCGCGGATCAAAAGAATTGATCGCACCAAGATACTTTTTTGGGGGATTTTCACCTTGATTGATCGTCGAAATTGGACCCAAATTTATTTCTCTTAAATACGTTTGTGTGCAATTTTAACATTTAACTTTTCTCTTTCTTTCTCCAATCATTCGTGCTGCGATATTTGAAATCAACTAATATGTCGCTCTGTAGCACAATAAATATTTTTGTTACTATAGAGCACCCTTTGAATGCGAAATTCGAATGCAATAAAATCATTTATGCATCTCAGAGATAATGCGAATTATTTAATAGGCACATCTTGCGCGATGCAATTGTTATGAGCTAAAATAATCGTCCTTAACATTTACCACTATTTATATATCATATATTGCGAAATAGAGAATTAATAATAAGAAAACTAAATTAATCTCGCGTAGTAATAACGAAAGAAAATAATTTAATTTACGTATATGCGAACTCGGATTAATTTAAGACTGACTTTGACAACGTCGTCTGTCATGTAGTAGATTTTCGCAGAACTATTATGGACGTACTTACCCAATTATTCGGCTTTGTAACTGTTCCGTTAGGCAATACCTGGCCTTTATGCCATACGTAATAGTCGGTGTAGGGTTCTATGCTCTGTAAGCTCTTTTGAAACCATTCGTGCTGATCAGAGGAGTGATTAGGAACAAAATCCAGAATAATTTTCAATCCTAAGTCATGAGTCGCTTTTACGAGGTCTTCAAAATCCTTCATAGTGCCAAATCTTTTGTCAACGTTGCGGAAGTCGGAAATGTCATAGCCAGAGTCGATCATCGGGCTAGGATACATCGGAGATATCCAAAAGGCATTAACATTCGATTCTACCAAATGACTTAGTTTACTCTTGATACCTGTATGCGAAAAACCAAAACACTTTTAGACCGTATTCGTGAAATATTTTTCAAATTTCAGTTACCATGACATATCGAAATCTGTCATCAAATACTTGGCAATTATTTTAAAATATTCCACAAAAATTCGATATTTTATAAAAATGTCGAATGTTTAGAAAAATTATATTTAAATTTATTTTTTTATATTTTAGTAAAAAGAATTTATCAATTAAACTTTCAAAACTTGTGTATCCTCGATAATTATAATAATAACAAATTTAATAAAACATGAATGAGTTATTTATTGTTCATATATGTAACAATAGATGAAATAATTTATTATTTATCTTTAAAATTTTATATAATCTTACTTTTTAAAATACAATATATTTTTATTTTAATTATGCGAAACAATATAGGTATTTTTATTTTAATTATGCGTATTATAACTGCTATATTATTATTAAAATTATAATAGTTTTCTTAAAATTTTAACATACTGATAAAAGAACGTACCATTAAGATCTCCTTCGCCATCCCCATTACTATCTTTAAAGCTTCTGGGATAAACTTGATAAAGTGACATTTTCTGCCACCATTTCACATTAGATTTACTATGTCCAAGGCTGGACAATAGTAATATTGTACAAAGCGTTATTACTCCCTTCATCTTATTGTTAGCTGAAAATTTGGAAAATAAATAATAATAAATTATTTATGCGTGGATTCAAATACATATGTAATAATATACGTGGAATCTGCTATTTTTCCCTTCAAACTGATCAACTTTAAAAAATTTGTTTATTTATATAAAACAATTTAAATAATTTTTAATGCGACTATATAAAATATAATATATATAATAATAAGCTGTATATCTTTTAACAGATAATTTTCGAGATTATTTTTGTTGATTATAATAGCTGATATAACAATTTTAAAAATTTACATTACAATAACACATCGAGTATAATTTTAGGAAGAAAATTTAGAATTATAAATAACACTCAAACTTTTCCACTCAAATATGTTCTCAGTTATTTCTAAGCATTCGATATAAATAACTCGAGAAATCATGGATATAAAATCTTATTTATACGATATCTATACGATATATTTATGTAAATAAATTATAATATATCTGCGCAAATAGTCACTTTGTTATATTTCAATGATTATTATTATTACAGAATTGCAAAAGATACAATATAAAATTGCTTAGTTTAATAAGATTTTTCTTAGATTTAACTTTTTTAAATTTTTTAAATGTAAAATACATTAAAAAAATTTATTTTGTATAATTTTACATGATTATCAAACTTCATAATGAATAAAATTTTAAGAACGATTAAAACATAAATCGTAGAGAGAGGTTGTTATTACAAAATAATTAATTTTACAAAATAATGTGGTTGTCCGCAATTAAAAATAACTCATTCTATTATAAATTTGCACACTTACAATTTGTCGAGTGCTTCCGAATCACAATGGACACTGCTCCGACACTTGCTGTAAGATCTACTGTTGTGGTGTAAACCAGTCTTCCTCTTTTATAGCCGCATTATGTAATTCCGAGCGAATAAGATATTATATGCGTATAGCCGGTATATTTATTTCATCTAATCGCGAGACGTATCGCGAGATCGTTTAATCGTATTAACCTCTAAATTTTTATATTATTTATCATTTTCAAGGTTGAATTGCATTAGTGCTACAAACTCAAGAACATTATAGTGTCTTTCAAAAGTAGCATTACTAATTAAAAATTATTACTGATTAAAAATAAATAAAACATTTGCAAATGCATGTGTATGTACAAGATTTTTTTTTAAATGTATCAATTTTTATGAGATATTCCTCAGATTGACTTTGAAATTAATAAAGTAATAAAGGAATTCTTCATTCATGCAAAAACTTAATAATTGTTGCAATTTGCATTTTTTCACATAATGAAAATGTTTACTACTTTAATGTTTCCACTTTTTACAATATGCTAATGAAAAGAATGGTATTATTTAATTAGCATTTATACCAAGTGTTTTTAAGAGAAATGTGCGAAAAATCGCTTGAGAAACACTGCTAAAAAAACTGGTGCAGAGATATGTTCTTATGTATATTTCCGGTAAAATACACGTATTGTTGATGATAATAATAATTAACAAATTTTATATCTACAAGTAATGATACTGATATCACATTGATATTGTATCAATAAGATCAAGTGAATTTATATTGGAATAAATTGGACATTTTGTCCACGCGTGCATAATGGAAAATTTTCCAATATTAATTTTCTCGTATAGGGTTAATCTTACGCTTTCGATGTTTACTATCGAAATAAGATCCATGTAACAAGACATCTCGTCTTAATGAGTAGTCTGAATAGACTGTTTAATGCCATGAAGCTTACAATTCTATACATATACGCGATTAACGAGTCTGTTTATCTGCTGTTGTGATATTTTGGAACGTGGTAAGGAATAGTGACATTGAAATTAGCGTGATCAGACGCAATATTATTTTAAGCTTTTGCGATCAAAATAACAGTTTTTGATTAACTTTCTCTATTACATCCGTTTGGAAACAGTCTATTTTTTATCTACTTTTTGAATGAAAACGATTATCTGCGTCGATATTGACGTACACGTGATTGACGTATAACATGTAAAAAAATGTAAAAAAAATTTTTGGCTGAAATTTTAAATTCTAGCAATGTTATTTTTCTGCTTCACAAACATTTAATTAGCAATACAATATTCGACAAAAGATAATGGATTACATAAGCAATTATTGATGAAATCATATCTCACGCGTTTTGATGAAAATGAGATTGATATGTTTATACTTTCTTTTTGAGATATTTATTTGAAACATAAAAATTAAAGTCGTTTATAAATCGTCATATTTACACAGTTTTTAAACGTTTATATTATAGATTCACAAGTTTCAAATGTTGCACATAAAAATGTTTGTCTTGCATCGGAGGAATCGAAAATTTGCAATTTATTCCACGATTATAATAATGCAACTTATTATAACTTTTAATTGGAAAAAATCAGTGACTTTTATTACAATAAATTTTATTCATCGAATGAAAACTCAACGAATGTTTTTGTGCGTATATGGGAGGAAAAAAATAGAGAAATTTTTTTCTTTGTAGTTGTGTTACTACGAACGCGGTAGTAGAGTTTTAAACAGAAATTTAATCTCGTGACCTAAAAACATTAGTGGGATTGCACGATGTTTTATATAGACCTTGGAAAATGCTCCCAAAGCTCGCACTTCGTTAAATATTAATAAATAGATTAAAAATGCGCTGCGCTTATGTTCATACGTGTTATAATGTATATTAATCGGATAATGTATGAGCAATGAAATTATAGATTTATCGCGTAAAAAGAGGAAGTAAATTGGCTCGAGAGAAATGTAACTTTAATCAATTTCTGTTATCGATAGCGCAGGAAGACTCGACGCACTTTGATTAAACAGAGTTTGAAGTTTTAAATAAAATTTAGCAAAATAAATTGACACATTTAAAAGCTATTTTTCCTTTTTTTTTTTTGGTATAATTTTCAATAAAAGACGAAACGAAATGGAATTGCATCTGAATTTACATAAAAGAAAAAAAAAGGATGGATTGTGCTAGATAGGATCCCGAATAAAAATACACAAAGCAAAGTATTTAATCGGAAGCAAGTTTAATCTCCAAGATAGAAATTTGCTCACGATTCGCGATTACCAACTTGATTCGACATATTCTAGCAGTCTATTAGAAAACGACATTTAATCAAGTATATATCTGCATTATTCAGAGATCGGAATACGCGTGTCAAGCATAGCTTGTTCTCGGAGACAAGATCGAATCATTTCGTCCATGTATGCTTGTAGCTAACATTCGATATATTGCATACGGGCGCGAGGTGCATAATCGTGCATCTAGTTTGCATCCAACGCGGTCGCGATTGGTAATCAAATTTCCCTGGTGAAGATCGCTAAATTTAGTGCGCGGGTATAATTTCCGCCCGAGAGAGCGTTTCGCTTCGTTCTCTCTCTCGTGCTGCGGGCGACGCGATAAAAGGAAAGCAACAAAAAAAAATACGAGTCGAGTGAAACGCTGACAGTGGCCGGGCAAACGAACCGCTGCATTCGAGTTAAGGTCTTTGTCCAGGCGCACAGGCTCTATTCCGTCAGGTGACTCTCCACCGGCCACGGTAATCAATAATCCAGGTATGCGCGTCTTCGGGTTACGTGTGCTCGGATACGTGCGTATATGGTATATGTAGATGATACACCACAGCCAAGTTTTCCAATCGTTTTGCAATCGGTGATTTTTACTTTCACGCTTATTTTTATCCATTGAGCGAGTCTCGAGTTTTCGACTTTTGTATCTTGTATAGCTCAGCTTGATTCCGCGATTGTGTTTTAAATCCTACTTGAAGAGATAAAGCCAGCGATTCGACAATAGAATCGACAAGCCAGGGCAAATCTGTAAACTTTGAAAACTTTTCTTCATTTTATGTACAAAACAAAAGTTTTCCAAGTATCCCGAAATTCCTCAGATAACAAGAAAGCAATAAGTTGCATCACTAAAGGCTAATTGATTTTTTAATGTTATTGAAAAGTTACCGTGAATAATGTCTTCATTTTCTTCTAATATTACTGACGATTCGTTGAATTTAAAATGATTGAAAGTTGGAATTTACTCTGCGCAGAAATGTCAGACATGACATTTTAAAATGCAGCCCAATATTCCCGATATGCTAAATTTTCAATTTCTTATCAGTATGCTGGTTTGTTAAGAACGATCGATATAGGGAATGTCGTATTTATTTAAATAAAAAATCTAGCTTTGGATTTAACTTTTGTGAACCGGCATAATAGAGAGAATTCCTGCTTTATCTCTTCCGCTATGCCAATTGAATTATTTTGTTACATATAGCAACTGATAAACACACGTTATCAATATTACATGTGTCGTAATCAATTTGTTAATTATTAGACACGTAGTTGTTTACTCATAGTTTGATAACATCAAAATAATTTGTATCTTTAAAATTGATTTATATTATATTTATATTATATATCCATACGAGATGAGAGTCCACAAATTTGAAACTTATTCCTCGGAAAATCATAAAAAAAAGATTGTAAATAACTTGCTTTCGGATGTTTTTTTCGACCTATGAAAATCAAATAGTAGGAAAGACGCCCTTCACCTTTCTTGTCACGCAAGAAAGTTATGTTGAAACGCGATAAGCTCCCAAAGAATTTTACGTCTTCGATTTTTGGCATCGTGTTACATATTCTGCCTTTTACAGTAGCTTTCTAGCACCCAAAAGTATTTGATTTTGATATATTATTTATCTTTAAATGCAATTACATAATTATAGCAATCTGATATTGCTAAAGATAAAAATCTATATCTTAAATCATATTCCGATTTATAACAATTAATTTCTAAAGAAGAAGGAACAATTATAACAGCTACATGTCCTGTGTCAAATTATTCACTAATTTGCGACCTATCGCGGCTAATTTATTAAGTCATCTCTTTTATTATGCATATGTACATATTTCGCAAATAATGATTAAATTACGCTTATCACGTATTATTAAATAACACTATCGAGCGTTATTTCGGTAGATCGTTGTCATTGTTTACATACATGTACATTTCACTTTCATAATAAATTGCATGACGCGTAGACCTCTGCGATAGTAATCATCCATTAAGTTAATGAGAAAATTTACTTTTGCGTTGGAATTAATTATTACTCTGCTATTTTCAAACGTAAATTGAAATATTCATTACAAAAACTCTCACCTAAAGTGTTCATTACATTGTCATTATCCTTTTTTTCGATGAAAAAAAAATAATTTGTTAATCTGGCGACAACAAATATTTTATCCTTTTCCTTAAAATGATCCAAATTTATGATTCCTTAGAGTTATGCAGCGACTCGTTTAAAACTATCCATAATCCATCAACGCATTGAAATTTGTCATTTTATATTCATAGGGGAGATAGACTTTCCGCTCTATCAAAAATGAATAATATATCAATATTGATTTCTTTCCCTGGTGTAAAAAAATCGCTTTATTGAGAAAAGAATTGCAACATCTTTTAATAAAAATAGATATCACAAAGATCAATGCAATGCAATTGAGAAACGTTTATAAATGCAATTAAGAAACGTTTATAAATGGAAGCTTTTATGAAGTTGAGCCACGCACAGAATTAAAATTACACTTATAATGTTTGTACATGCGATGTGACAATTATGTAACATTGAAATACGTACAATGTACTTTGTTTTTGTCGAGATAAGCATATCAAATCTTGAGAGATTTGTTATGCAATGTTCGAGTTTATATTTCTATTGTAATTTCTATGTGCAATTTTATCAGAGAATTAGCGAATATTTTGCCCCGGAATATTGAGATTGAAGAAAATTCCAGAACAAGAAAAATAATCGAGAAATATTCTAGATAATCTAGGTGATGTTTCTCATCAGCAATTACTTTTTGAAAATGATTTTTATGTAGATAATATTATATCTTTTTGCTCGTATTGTAATGAAATACTGAATGATTCACTGTCATAGTCTTCATAGTGGAATAAACCATTGATGAAGAAAATTTCTACACAATTACCATAATTCGAGATAATTGTTGCAATTATGTAATCGCTGCTATTATGACTATCAAATGGCTTGTATTGTGTACATCAATTATAATTATACATATATATATATATATATATCGCAAGATGCGGGACGTATACATACAACGAGTTGGTTATTTATCGATCTTACGTATGTCTGAAGCGTCTTTGCTGTCATCAGTGAAACGCCTTGCTGACGCCAGAAAGACATATTCGTCACTTTGGGCCAATAAGAAAATGACAAGAACTCGCCGGAGCTAATTTTCGAGCTATTATTTCCCCGGCTATTGTCGTCCTTGCCCATCTGCAACACTATTACTCTACATGTCACCGATTATATGTGTACGGCGGAGCGAATCAAAATAGATGTGGCCGCGCATGAATTGGCTATTGTCCAACATTCGATTTAATTACGTTACTATTCTCTATGCGCTTTTATTTACAGCTTTATATATTTTATAGCTTTATATATTTTTATATATGGTTTTATACAGAGCTTTTTCAAACCCATCTCTTTTTCTCTCTTCTCTGCGTATTTAATTTGATATTTTCAAATTATACAATCTATATATCATCGAGATAGTATAATAAAAAATAAATAAAGACATATATAGAATCTAAAAGAAATATATAGAAAAACTCAAGAAAGAAATTATTTTCTTCAACTGTAATAATATTTAGTTTCCACTCGTAAGTTTTAAGAAATCGAGATTTTTCAACGAAATTGTTTGTTGGTTGCCTTTTTTAAAAGTAAATATGTGGAAACTCAAGAAAGAAAGAAATTTCTTCAACTGTAATAATATCTTGTTTTCTAACGTAATTTTTAAAAGATCGAGATACATTTTTAATGAAATTGTTTCTGGTTACTTTCCTTGATATCGTACTCACAAACAGTATTATTTTTTTATCATTGTGTTTATTCATATTATTTATATATTATCGCAAAATTTCGTTTTAATCTGAACGAGTTTGCTTTATCTTGTTTTATCAATCATCAGCATTTATCATTTAATCCGTCTCGTGTAAGTGCATCGATTAATGATAAACTGACGCAAGGAGAGAGAGAAAAGGCTCTTGGCCACGTAATTTGTAAGACTGCGGTTTATTGCCCGAGGAACGAAGCCATATCGACTTCTTTAATCACATTTATTCAGAAGCCACCGAGCATTTTTTTAATAAATGAGCTACTTACTGAGAGTCATTATTTTATGTTGTTACGGATAACGACGTTATTAAAAATGGGTGTATTCATTTCTCTTATTAACAAAGTTTTACAAAAGCGCAAAAAATACACTCTACATTATAACATTGAAATATTTATGCTATTGATTGAATATACCATGATTTAATAAAGTCTAGTAATAACATTTCCATCATTGTGAGCTTTAATGGTTTTTGTAAAAGAATATTTAAAGGCAGAAAAATGAGATTATCATTATATCTTTAAGATGCGCATTTTTATATAACTGTCAGATAATTTTTTCTTTGCAACATTATTGTGATTTGAACTTGGCAAAATTGATTTCGACGTAACTAGCAATTTTATTCAATACTTTCACGACGTTTCGACCATTTGGTTGTGATCCTTATCAAGTGAGAATTCCATTATTTTAATTGATGGAATTCTCACTTGATAAGGATCACAACCAAATGATCAAAACGTCGTGAAAGTATTGAATAAAATTGCTAGTTACGTCGAAATCAATTTTGCCAAGTTTATTTTCACCACTAGCGTCCAATATTAATTTTGATTGATATTATTGTGATTTATTCCAATTATTATATTTGTTCTTTAAAAAATAAAGTTTAATCTCTCGTTGTATAATATAATATATACCATCGAGAATGAGATATAGCATAGTAGCTGTAAAAAAATAAAAATGTAAATGAAAAAAAGAGACGAATTTTGCTCTGTGTACTAAACGCATATATTTCGCCATTGCCTTGCAATCTCGTGCATTATTCAAGCGAAATGTAATAATTCACCTACATTCACATATGCTATATTCGCGTCTGTTTGCTTATCCGCTTACGGTGAATAATTTCATAACCACCCTCTCCCTTCTCTCCTTTCCACTCATATCACGCGCCGTCACATCAATACGCTGGTATCGTCATTTAAAGGTGTTTTTGGAAAGTGATAGCGCTCCGCAAAATTATTATTTGAAAATGTGCGTTCTGTGCGTCATACAGATCATCGCGATCACAAAGCGAACCGCTTTGACGAGATTCACGACTAAATTTCAACGAAATTCTGTTTATTAATTTCACTACGCATAGAGGTGTATTTCTGCGCACTATTCTCAACAAACATAAAATTACCTATTTTTGTAGACGCCCCTGCGTATAGAGCTTTCCATTTCCGAAAAAAATATTTTTGCGATTAACTTACGACACGAGATATAAAATTATGCAAAATAGATGCGTTTTTTTAATGTATGTGATACACAATTATAAAGCATAACTTAATATTGTGAAAGATGATGTCGGGATTATGTAAATTTCGCAATATCTAAACTTGAAGATTATTGTATGTCGAATATCCAATTATTTTTCTGGTATTTTGTTGGACAAAAGGGCGAGAAATATTAATTATTAAGAATAATGAAGGTATAAATTATATAGGTAATGAATCATGTATTATTTTAAAGAATATAATTATTTTGATCAAATTTCAAATTTCCGTCTTCACTCCATCTTTTCCTTTTTTTGAACTATGAAACAAATGTAATTATAAACTGAAATTTTTTTATAAACTGAACTTTTTTATAAACTTTTCTTCTTTTCCGAAATGAGAAAAATATGATTTACATTATTGTGTTATTTTATATATTTTGCGCAATTGGATTTTGTGCAAACGAGTTTTTTTTTTAACCAAAATGCCTTTTCATGCGTCGCCACATGTCGATAGAATTTTCTCGGAATTGATATTCGATTTCGACGATTTATTCGCACAATAGTGTTTTACCTGGAAATGAATACCAATTTTATTTATTTATTCATTTATTTGTTTTTTGACAGTATATGTTAGTACAGAGATTATAAACATGCACATGTAAATAATCAAACTGCAATAATATAATAATATAAATTTTAATCGAATTTGTATGCTTCTTTAAATTGAATATTTTGCGTTTTGATATATTAAATGAAAAAGAATTAGCAAATAGATTATTTTCAATAACTATTTTAAATATAACATGATACATTGACAGCGCAGCGAACAATGCTGCTTGATTTTAATTGTTAATCGTATTAAACGCTTATAATTATGTTTGGATCTCGATTCAGTATACTTGCGATATGGTGGAGAAATGCGAAACACATCGCGTTGAGTAATAATTCCAAGAGATTTAACTACCGACTTGTACATATTTAAATTAAATTAGAGCTTTTAATTTCTTATATCGAAGAATCGAAACCAACAAAAAATTTTATTACATTTAATTTATTTCCTTTTAAATTTAAACTTTTTTTACACTCTATTACTCTACGTCATATTTCCTCTCTTTCTGATTGTGTGTGTGTGTGTGTGTGTGTGTACACATGCTCGAATGCCGTGCATATCGTTATATATGCACTGTTAAATTATTATCGAGTCAATATCGAAGCGACAAACTGATACTTAAAGTAGGTAATTGACGAGCGATATTCATTTACGCTTTACGCGATTGTAAATATAGTCGGTTCGTTTCCTATTTCCGTAATCTCTAAACGATGCAAACGCGATGCACGCGCTCAGAAACACTTCAACTTGTGATTAGCATAATGGCAACTCGTTGGTAACTCGTGTGCGATCGATTGGCTATGAGACTAATTCGCAGTCTATAGGCAAGTCCTACCGATCGATAGCTACTCCGCCACCGCGGTTTTACCGCAGTGATATACGGCCTTACACTTTGTACCATGTTACATATTCGACAAATTAGTGTAATTATGGTGCTGACAAATACACCGGGACGTTCGATTTCGTGATACAACATTCGCATCATTGCACAAAACGCGTACGATAATTACGTTGTACCATCAAAGTCAATCGGCACAAGGCATAGCGCCACGTGCATAAATGTTTTATTTATCGATATTATTGTACAAATTTTCATCTTTTTTTTACAGCAGAGTTTTAATTTTTCTGTGATTTTATGTATGTGAAACAATTTTTGCAAAACATTTTCGTGTATTTTTTGCGCGTAATATATAAAAAATATATGTAGATAATAATACATGTATATATATTGTAAATATCTGAATATGTGTCATCATTTTTCTCTAAAAGTCCAAATATTTTTAGCGATATCTAGCTTTTTGTCTCACGTGCAATCTTTTCATTTTTTTTGACATTTATGTCGTAGGATAGTGTGTGTAATAAAGTTAGCTCTCTCTAAAAGTCGATTATAGTTATATTCTCCTAGCGCGAAAAAAGACGAAACAAAATTTCTCACAGTACGAATGAAAATTTGCGCTCGTATTATAAAACTGTCGATATGTTATACAATTTTTAGGAAATAAATATTACAAAATGTTAGATTCTTCTTTAGAATTAAATTTACGAGCGAATACCGAAATTATACATATACGCCACATGACACAACAACGATGATTGAAGAGCTGCGAAACAAGCAGCGTCCAATCAGATATTTATTCAAACAAGTATGCGCGACATTAAATTGTTATGAAACGAAAATCCATGCAAAAATACCGCAATAATTTTCCGCCTCGCTCGCGTTGATTGATGATCACGCACGAGTGCCACGTGCATATATGCACATTTGTGCGATTTGAGATACGATGATGAAGCTAAAAATTTCATTCTTTGTTTATTCTTGTTTTATACATATACACATATATATATATATTTTTTTTTTTTGCGATTGCAGTTGCATCTCCACCAGACAGACGAGTCACGAGGGACGATATCGGAGTGGCCTCGGCCGGTGCAGCGGCGAACAGCGCGTCCGCCACCAGCTGCAGCGGTGCAAGCGGCGCAGCATCCACGAGGCCGCGCAATCCTTCTTCCTCTCCTGATCGAAACGGCCAACTTTCCAGTAAGTTTTCGCGGTATTACCTTCCCGAGATACGCCTTGACGCTTATCGACCAGACATTTCCGCGAACGTATATTTCTTCGAAAGGCAAAGTTTTTTTCCTCATTTCCTCTTTTTCTCCTCTTTTTCGTCAGCTGCGAGTGCTCCAAAATATTCGCGTGTAATAGGGTGTTTTATTGTAGGTTGAAAAAAGTTGAGGATAATCTTGAGAAAAATATGAAAAATATTTTTATTTTATTTCTCGAAAATATTATTTCTATAAAATGTCATCGTTTGAGCATTATGCGAAATGAATTTCCGCCATGCGATGCATAGAGATCTTCTTTAATCTAATAAGAGGAAAGTAGTTTACTTTCATGAGAATATCAAGCGTATTTATTTTTCATTGGTTTTATGATTTTTACTCTTATATAACAAATAATTTAAAAAATATCTATTTTAATTTATAAAATATTAAAATACTGATTAATCTAAAAATTTTTCATGTTTTATTGTGAAATGTTTTTAAATTATATTTTACATAGTATACACAAATTGTATTTACGGAACAATTGTACAGTATAAGTCAGGAGAGAGGTAGCTTGATGAATTTATGGAGCAAAATTATTTCGGGAAATGGTAAAATTTTATTTACAGAGACTAAATAATTAAGAAATTAATTAAAGCGCTCCATATTTTGAATACTTTTATAAACGTGTTTTAATTTGCTAGATATACACCTCCGTTTCGGATAATAATGCGGCGAGTTTTTGATTTGCGGGGAGATTTAGGGTGATTTAGGATTTATGAAATCTGGTTCTCGATTGAAGCGCATTAATCGGAGCGATCGCGCTCGTTGTGTTTCAGAACAGGGCACTTTGACGATAGTACGCCGAAGTTCCGGCAAAAGCAAAAGCATCAGCAGTGGGAATTTCGAAAGTTCCCCGCCGCCGCCGCCGCCGCACAATCCCGACAGTTCGTATTTATCGGGCCAATCCGTCGACCTCCCCGATGAGATCCTCGATAATGTCGATCTCACGACGGACTCGCTTCCTGCCGTTGACACTCCCGACGCGTGCGACAAAGCTGCTCTCAGGTATCATATCGCATTGCAGGTGTTAATGGCTTTGCAAATGCGACACGCTTTAGGTTTAGACGGAGATTTGTCTAAAGTAGCGTTAACAAATCAAACATTTTTTTCAAAACACATGAAATTTTATCGCTTTATTTATTTCTTTCTATATTTATATCTTAAATTGATAAAAAAGTGCCTTTTTTCTTCGGCCAATTAATCGTGTACATATATTCTTGCATTATCATTTTCATTATCATTTGTATACTAATAATATATATATATATATATATTTACGTGAATCATTTATCGAGTGCTCAATTGGACTATATTTTTTGTACGCATTTTCGTAAGAATTTTTTTTACCTATTCTTGCGTTTTATTGAACGTGAGATTAGAGAATCTCGCGGCGGGGAAAAAAAGTATCTGCCCCTTCGAGCATCGAAGAGTTAAATACAATTACGTTAGCAATCTCGACTTGTCGCGCAATTATCGGAAAGCGATTGGACGCGAACGTCTAGTTTAGAGGGCACGTTATTGGCGCGCAAGAGAACAAATTCCCGAGGATACCTCTCTTTTGCAGATTGAGGTGTTTATTGAGGCAGCTCCAACATGGGGAGATATCCGCCGAACTGCTCCAACGAAATTTGCATTATGCAGCTCGCGTACTCGAGGCGGTTTTCATCGACGAGACCAAGTAAGTTTCTTTATATTTCTCGTGTCTCTAATACGTACAATGTAAAAAAAAAAGAAGACAATGGTCTATTACTTGTATACTTCTATGATTACTTCAAGTACTACTTTTTCTTCTGCCGAAATTTCCAGACATTGCCGACACGCTATATATCGCCACCACGTCCCGCACCTCGCGATTAATTGACAATTCTTTTTTTATAGGCACAATCGATACCTAATTGTCGAGAATACAAGATTTCAGTTGATTCAAAGTTGATGTACAACTTGTCGATGTGATAGCACTTGTTTGCGTTTCGATCGTACGTAGCCGATCGTGTTGTTGCATTCGATGACTTAGCCAGCAGGATCGACTACACGCGATCGAGCATTAATGAATTAATTATCGGTCGACACAGAAATCGCACGCAGGGTGCGACTTTTTGCACGACTCTTTCGCAGTTTCTCGTTTCTCATTTGCCAAGCACAACGCAAAAATAAATGTCAGTGCGGCCTCTCGCGTAATAAGAGCCTTTGATTCTCGCGATGCGTCGTGCCGGATGAAACTCACAACCCCTGTGACTCGGCGATCAAAGAGACAGCCAGTTTATAAGGGACAAAGGCTATTCCTGAATGCGCGCAAACGAGATCAATCGTCCGGACGATAAAGCTTCGAAGCGCGCCGATGCTCGAGCTGAGCGAGTCGAACGTTACGTGGCAACAACGTTGTCGCTAAATTTCTCAAGCTTTCTCTAACCGAGATCATTTCTCTAGGTTCGCCGAAGAGGAGTCGACGGCGGCGCCTCTTTAGCTCAGTGGTAGAGCACTGGTCTCGTAAACCAGGGGTCGTGAGTTCAATCCTCACAGGAGGCAAGTGAATTTTTGTTGTTGAGGTTCCTAATGCTCCCTCGATCGCAGTCGTATCGATTCTACGATATCGAAGGCGCGAGAAACTTTTTCGCTTTCTTACACAAATTTATAGGGTGTCGACATTCAGGCGTTTGTAATCATGGAAATTAGTTTTATCTTGTCGGTTATCGATTGATGATTTGGAATTCTGATCAACTTGCACTAAATTATCTGAGTTACTCGAGCGCGTTTACTACTAAAGAAGGAATATAAGAAGGTAAGTTATATAACATATATTTCGTCATTGTATATATTTATATCGAAGGCGAATTTTTGTCGCTTTTGATATTGTAATTCGTGATATGAGCGCAGAAAGGAAAGTGAGAGGAGCCTTAACAATACTACGCAATTTCTTCAACGCTTATATAGAAATATGTACGTAAAATTTGCATTCTTGAATGAATTATGCAATTTGATAAATAGTTGCCGTACCAGTAAATAATTTTTCACCAATTCATTAATTTGCATCATTTATAAAAGCAGCACCGTATAAATATATACAATTTTAGAATCTTTCGCCGAATTTTGAATGCGTATCTTTTATATTACTTATATACTTTGCGTTGCAGCAAAATATCGAGGTGTGAAAATTGCACGCGACCAGTCCTTTGCACTTGATATGATATATCCGTGACGCGAAGATTACAACTTGAATTACCCATATATCGCTTGAATCTAAACGCTTGAATTTTCGTTCACGCATCTGCGAGCGGTGTGCGTTGCAACGAAAGTATAGGATACCTCAATCTCGCGATCCTTAGTTTCAGCAATATCACCGAGAATGTTGCCACGAAGCACGACGCATCGAGAGTTTATTTCCTTTCGTTCGGAATCAGATCGGTGTAATTTGTTTCCGTCGATCAAATGAAGACAGAGCGATGCCACAGTCGTCGATATATCGAAAAAAAAAAGAGAGAAAAGAAAGAGAGAAACTTTAATGTTGTATTATCCTGATCTTTTTTACACATGAACTAACAAGCACTACCACAGGGTGAGTTCAGGCGGGAATGAGTGCGCTCAGTCACCACGTAGGGGGGCGGGCCTGACGTCTTCATCCCTAGGGGGCGGCGAACCGGACGGACCACAAGGCCACGCGGTGGTAACCCAGAAACGGAAGCTTCGCACCCCCGTATGGGCAAGGTTGCGAAACATTCACATTTCCAAGCCCCTTACGACTCCCGCGCCGTCTTCCTCCATATCTTCATCTCTTCCTTCTACCTTCACCACCCCTTGTTGTCCGCCGTCCGTATCCGTGCCGTCGACGCTCTTTGTCGTCCTCTTTGTCGAACGATAGGTTCGCGTTCACGCGTCTCGCGAGGATAACACGAGTTGGTAATCGCCGGCGATGAGCGACAAACTTGAAGCTCCTTCGTCATAATCGTCATTTTTTGCTGCTCAAACTCGCGGAGAACGCAAGTTTTACGGATATTTCATTACTTTATACTATCTAAAATCTTCCATTTATTTTCCAATATTTTATTTTACGTGACATTTCATATTTTATATAATATTTCATTTGCTCTTGATCGTCTCTGTTTCTCGATATTCACCCAACCGCTAAATGTCAATCTGCCAATACTCATCACGGGCTCGAATTTTGTGCATAACGCGAATAACGTGATTGACAATTGATCAGCGTCGCGGAAACGCGACGGCGATGTTTGCTATAGGTATAACGATTTTTTGCATTTCACTTTTAGATCGAATAGAAAAAATTGTATTTATATTATACAATTGACGCGCTCCAAGCTTTCCTATATTAAACGGATTGTTCAACTAGACGCAACAAAATTTATTCTGATATTCTCTATTAAATACTATCCGAGTTGTCGCTCTTCTCCGTAGAATGCCAACTAATAAGTGGAACGAGTCAACGTTTCTTGTAGCGAATATAGCTTCTTCGTATACGTACTATATACTATCTAGTCTAGTTTATGTGCACAGAAATGAAAACGCATTAGATAGCAATGCGTTCTTTCGTTAATAAGAGCATCTTTCAATAGTTCAACAACTCAGATATAGTCTGACATTTCAAATACAAGACAATTAGCATGTTTCTACAAACTGTTGCATCGAGTAGTAATATAGACGACAATAACATTTTTCCTAAATGTTGAAACGCCTTATTCGTTTCGAGACACGCGAATTTGTATAGATCTTAATCGGCCGCGCAAAACAGGAAACATTAATTGTATATCATGATCATTTTTTATACAATCACATATTTATCAATGTTTGTCATCTTTCTGCATTTTGTGCGCGAACGTCGAAATGAGAGGATAAAGATCGACGAGGATCAAACGACACTTTCGGACACAGCATGAAAGAAACTTTACTCTTGCCGTGCCTTGTCTTTCTCGTTCTCGCTCCCTCTGTCTCTAGTCTACGTCTTTTCTAGCCTCTTTCTAGGTGTAACCTACTACACGATTTGTCGGACATATCTGCCTGCCGTGCAACATGCATCGTTCACACACGATATAACGGACCGTTTCCTACTGGTTTAGCATTGTTCTTGCCCGAGAAAGAGAGGAGTGCATGTATATACGTTTATCGCCAGGCGCCAGATCGTGGATATAATAAACATCCCTCGTAAATTTATCGCGGCGTGTCAAGGAGTGACTCGAAAAATGCTGCGATCCCGAGAACTGATCTTCGGCCAGAGTAAACGAATATTTTCAAGTCACCCCACGCAGCAGGCATGCCAGGGATGTTTGCTTGATGTAGCGAGATGCTTAGATCGATGTAAAACCTTTCAATGTGATATATGTTTTTCCTTTTCGTGTTTCACATTATAGAGACGCCGATCGTGCGGAGTCAGCAGCCACGTGTCGTCCGGGTGTACGCCGTAGGTTCGTTTCACCCAAAAATTTTCACTTTGCGCGAACACAAATCGCGAACGCGGAGATGCTCTTTTTTTTGCTCTCCGCACTTTGAGCTTGATGCCACATCGAGCTCTTTTTGCATGAAAAATCGCGCGACTCGCGTCACATATAAGCCTTGCTGCTTTATATAATATACAATGTCATTTTGCTCACGGGGTGTATCAGGATCTAGATTTTTTTTCAATTGTACATTTTTATTACAGGGGGCTCGCTCAGACGATTATATACTTTCACACTCGAGACACAGAGTTAGATGACATTGAAATTTCAAAGACAAATAGGATCCTTTACAAAGAACAAATTATGCTTAGAAAATTTGAATGAATATAATAATTGCCTTTTTATTTGAAACCCATTTACCTTCAAATTTTTCATCAGTATAAATAAAATTGATAAATGTGCACACAGTTTATAAATGTATTCAAAGTGCTTCTCTAATAAAAATGTGTTTTTGCGAAAAAGTTTGTGATGAGAAAAAATGTGTTGTTGGAAGAATAGATGTGATTCTGAGACACTCTACAGTACAATACGATTATAGCGGTGTAAGAAATGCGCATGTAAACGTATAATGCTTTTCTGTGAACAATTTTTAAATTTATGTAAGTGTTTTTGCCAAAGTTTGAATCACACAATAATTATCACAATTCGTCATCTGTGTGTATATACATTTAAAGTGTCTTAAACAATACATACTAATTATGTTTTCTTAATATTTTAATTATATCTCGTTTTAATTGTATATATTATTGTGCTATTAATGGTATCAAAATTAATCCAAATTTCTGCACTTTCGTACCGATAGTGATATCCGGATGTTTTGTGTAATCTGTCAAATCAAAGTCGATGGATACGTCGGAGATGTAATGTTATACTCTTTATGTTATTATTCATATTAATGTTGACTTATTGTCGAAATTATATATTTACCAAAATAACCGACCCAACTATCGTTCAAGCCTAATAAATCACACTGCACTTAACCAGGTTTGAGATCAAAAACATACTCGCAGCGATTCATTTGAATCGTTCAATTTTTCTACAAACCCTCATTTCGTCACCCTCAATACGCCAAACGCACATACACACATATTCAATACATCAAATTCACCCATTTGAACGCAATATTTCTATCCAATTCGCACTTTCTCGTTGAACTGTGTGATTGATATGACTTTGGTTGAATCAAAATTATATTGATATTTAAATATTTGATTTAATTGTAGCGTAAACGTTTTATAGGAAATTAGGATTACGTGAAATAATTTTAAAGACTTATGAAAATGTTTAAAAAATTATTTTATTCAAATTTCTGTTTTTTGTAAAGTATTCTTTAATAAATATATGGGATATGTATTTTGTGTATCTCGTATACTCGTTCACAAAACGTAACAACGATCGTATCTAGGACGTAATCGTGATTCACGATCGTAATTTATTTCTGCAAATGAATAAAAAAAATTATATGGAATAATTTAATCACGACATTCACGGTCTGCGAATTTGCGACAAAACAATAATCGCGTAACGAATCTATAGAATCACGTTTTTACGATGCATTTCGTAATACGGAGCGTATTAAATTAATATTGATGCAAAATAACGTAGCGAACAAGTATGGAATATAGAATATAACGTGCAATAGATGAGTTTAATTCGATTTATACAACGCGATAAGAGCAAGCTTAAATGCAGATTTTAGATCGAATGTAAATTTTTGTTTCGAGGACATCGAGCGTCTCGGCTCGATCGAATGCGTGTAAGATAGGCCGAAATTCTGATCGTGCCGAAAATATGTCAGCACGATCTAACATCGCCGATCTAACATCGCGATCCCGCGATTTCCTCCCTTAGGCGGCTGGCGGACGAAGACGATGAACTGTCAGAGGTGCAGCCGGACGCGGTGCCGCCGGAAGTGCGCGAGTGGTTGGCGTCAACTTTCACCAGGCAGCTCGCAACCACGAGACGGAAGGCTGACGAGAAGCCGAAATTCCGCTCGGTCGCGCACGCCATCAGGGCGGGCATATTCGTCGATCGGATCTACAGAAGAGTCACGAATACCGCCCTTATGCAATTTCCGCCGGACGTCGTCAAAGTGCTTAAGGTAAGCAATCCTCGCCCCGACGATTGTAAAGTCCGAGTCATTTTGAAGTAAACAAATTTATTTATGATTGAAACTTGTCTTAATTGATTTGGTATGATGTATCAATCCGCCAGTATAAATGTAAACCACAATTAAGTATGTAATCATAAAAAACGACCAATACTGGACAAATAATTTCTTTATTGAAATCAAATTAACATGACGTTTCGACCTGTGATTTAGTTTATAATAAAATTTATTTATCCCGAGATGTGGATCTCGAACAGGAGAAAGTTTAGAATGCACACAACTCTCTGATTCTAGTTGTTTAGTCACCAGATTCGGCAACATTTTACTGAAAAATCTACTAACTAATTCTACTCGGTGAAATTTTATTTTCTGTTTGCTGTATACTTATAATGAAAGTACGTCAATTACATTTAAGATATTGGAAACTACTAGTTCTAGTCATCCAACTAGTTGGAGAAAACTTTAAATTAGTCGTGTAGAGAGATTGGTCGAGGTTACTCGGGTTTGTTTTTGAAATTTTATAATTTCAAATTGTTCGCTTTGACTGTTCAAGACTTTGGACGACTGGTCGTTCGATGTATTTTCCTTGAACGAGGCCGCTTCGGGCACACCGGTGAAATACTTGGGCTACGATCTCCTCAATCGATACGGTATGATTCACAAGTTTAAAGTACCTCCCGCAGTTTTGGAGTGCTTCCTCGGAAGAGTCGAAGAGGGATATTGCAGATACCGAAACCCGTACCATAACAATCTTCACGCTGCCGACGTTGCGCAAACGATGCATTACATCTTGTGTCAGACGGGTTTAATGGTGAATATCTCGGAAAAAAATACTTTAGACATATGTTTAATCTTCTTTTTATATTTGAAAAATTGAGAAATTATATTATAAAATTAATAATTTTTTTAAGCGACTCAAGTTTTTACGTTTTAAATTATTCTTTAATTTAATTGCACGTATAATGTATTAGAATGTATAGGCAATCTAAATGCAATCTAAATGCACTTTCCGGCAAGAGATTGATAAGATCTCGTTTCGCGATATGCTTTTATCATTAAAAGAGCAAAAATCGTATGACGTAAATAATGGAAAAAGATGAGATTTTTATACAATTATTACTGATTAGTTAGTTTAGCAAAAAAGCTTTTTTGCTCAATTTTATCCTTCGCCGTTCCATTCCCTCGAGGATTCTTTCAACGTGAGATCATCTCCAGCTGATTATATTACTTGTTGCAGAACTGGCTGACCGATCTCGAGATTTTCGCCACTCTCGTGGCGGCACTTATTCACGATTACGAGCACACTGGGACCACAAACAATTTTCACGTAATGTCTGGGACCGATACAGCTCTTTTGTATAACGACCGAGCTGTGCTAGAAAACCATCACATCTCAGCCAGCTTCCGGTATGCGTAAACTTGATTTTACGATTGACGTTGTTCTCCCATTGACAATTTACATGCGAAAAGTTGTAGATAAATCTCAAAAATTACTAAAGATATAAATATTAATTAAAATTAAAAATTCCATATCTGACTGACACACGTGTAAAAGAAAGAGTTGGGCAATCTTTTAAAATATATTTTTCTCAAGTTTCTTCGATTTAAATAAAGTCTTTTCTTTCCTTTTTATAGATATATGTAAAAAGATAGAGTATAATCTTCTATAAGTAATGGCAATCTTTTTTTTAATATTTCAGGATACTTAAAGAAGATGATTGCAATATATTGCAGAACTTGTCGAGAGAGGAATTTCGGGAATTTCGCTCGCTCGTGATCGACATGGTTCTTGCCACCGATATGAGTTTTCATTTTCAACAGTTAAAGAACATGAAGAATCTATTAACTTTGGCGGAGCCAAGCGTCGATAAAAGCAAAGCCGTTAGTTTGGTCCTCCATTGCTGCGACATTTCGCATCCTGCCAAGAGATGGGATCTTCATCATAGGTGAAATTTTTTATACAATGTCTGCAGTTTTTCTCTCGCGTTCTTATTTGTGTAAAACTCGTTCTATTATAAATTATCGCAGACGCAAAAATTGCTTGAAATTTTTCGTGTACGAATTTTTAAAGCGCAATAAAAATGCAAATGCGTGTAAAAACCTGCAATAAATTATTAATTTACGTATTAATTGCTAATGAACAGCAGAGAAAAACAGCAATTTTTACATTATATATTGAATGACATCATATAATGATGAGTAAATGATGGTAATTTTGAATGCACACACAGGTGGACGATGCAACTTCTGGAGGAATTTTTCAGACAAGGTGACAAAGAGAGAGAGCTCGGTTTGCCATTCTCGCCTCTGTGCGATCGTAACAACACATTGGTAGCCGAATCCCAAATAGGATTCATAGAATTCATTGTCGAGCCTAGCATGCAAGTATGCAGTGACATGCTGGAAACTGTCCTCGCACCGCTTAATGTCAAGGATACCACAGAAGAGCCTAGTAATGGTAAAATTACTTTTACACATATGTTTAAATTGCATAACTTTAAATAATTGCACTTTGAAACAGAGATGGCAAATTTCGCCTTGAAATTTCTTGGGAATTAATGTCTCATCATATAGTACTATTTGACATAAAAAAAAGTTTGAAATTTGAGGTCCCAAAATTCGACTCTATAAAATGGGCGAAAAAACAGATCTTTTGCCATCACTCTTTTTTTTTTCTGGTTAATAATTGTTGATTCAATTATATCGGCAAAATATAAATTTCGAAAAATTCTGATTTATTATAAATTAAGTAATTGATTTTAATTAAATAAATGATTTAAAATGATGTTTAGGAGGGGAAAATAGAAGGTTCAAAATCGACAAACCTTGGACCTCATGTCTCGCAGAAAATAAGAAGATCTGGAAGGAGCAAGCAGTTCGAGGTACGTTATCTCGGTATTTTATGGTAAACATCAATAAATCGAAAATAGACGAAATCAGATGATTCGACACAACTGTGAGAATATTGTTTCTGCCTGTACGCTACTCGCAGAACTCGCAGAACTTATTTAACTCATTTGCTTGAATGCAACAATAAGATTGAAGCGAGTCGCAATGTCAACGTTTCATTTGCAGATGCAGAAGCCAAAGCACAAAAGGAGCAAGAACAAAAAGCCAGTGGTAATCGCGAGGATGGTGGAGGAACGCAGGCTCCGGCCGAAGAATGAAAGATACAACGAGCGATTGTATTCTTCAAGAGTCTCTGCAACTTTAGACTACGTGGAAGAAGCTCGTGATCTCTCATTGGATGGTTATTATTAATAAGTTTATGGGCTCCTTATTACGCTTACGAATGAGAGACAAAGCATCATTCGATAGTAGTACAAATAGATGTATGTATGTCATACACATTAGATGAGCGGAGACGATTCATAATATGTTGAGAGATAGATTGTTTAAATTCTTAAATACCAAAGGCCCGAGTCACGTATTTGTCTCTGCTACTCCTGTGTAAGATGTTTCGATTAGAAGTTATCGTTTATTTTTTATGGCTCGATATGATGTAAAATTACTCGATCTTATTAGAAAGTTACACGCGCTTCTCGATATTGTTGTCTCGATAATTATCGTCGATGTTGTAATGGTTATGAATTCTTTATCAATATGGAAAGCTTTGATTTCAGATCCGATTTTACGTGTTTGCAAATTGGTAAGTACAATATCCGTGATTTTCGCGATTCTTGAAATTCTTCTAAATTTCTAACGTAAATAGATGGACTGATAGATGGATATATTGTGTGTTAGAAGAAAGGAGGAGATATGATTCACACAAATCTTGATTGTGTTGTAATAATAATTGATAAAAATAATTAATAAAGGCATGCCCCCCTCTTGTGTTCTTGAACCGAACAATGCGGAAATACGAGTACCTTGCAACAGATGCACATTTTATTTAAAAAAAGAAAAAAGAGTGATACAAATTTTACAATCGGAGAATAATATGTTTTGTGTTTGATTTCTTTTCACAACATTACAAACGTGCAAATATTTCAGATATGCGTTCTTGATATTGTATTAAAAATCGTATTTACCGAGGGACAGAATATATTCAACTTAACTTTTATCTGTGTGATAATTAATCTCGATAATCAATTTTTTTTTAAGCTCAATTTGATCATGCTAAACTACAACACTGAAGCATTTGATATGAAGAGCGTTATGTACGATGAAAGAATTTATATACTTTTGAATGAATTATAACTATCGATGATGATTATAAGGTTTGTACAATTATTAAGAATAAGAAGAATCTCTGAGACACTTTATTCAGCCATTTTCGTTTGCTGGCGATCATCGCACAAAGGTATATCGCACAATAATGTTACGTTTTTAATGCGATCTTTTTCGTTTAATTTTACTAGATAAACGAAAAGAAGAGTGCGAATAATTGAGGCTGCATGCTTTCGACGCGATTCCTTATCGCGCGGCGGAGGCGTCGATTCCTCTCGTTCATTATCGCGTTTATCAATTAGTCGCGGCGAAAAAAATAGAAGTTTGCGAAGCACATCCTTGTACATATATATCGTTCGTTAGATGTGTATCCGTATACACGTACACTGGTGCAGCTTTAATGTGTGTGTATGTAATGTATAAAAAAAAGGAGCAAAAGATAACAAGATGCGGCTATAATATTTAGTCGACATACTTATATATGTATATACACACACATATATTATATATACATATATAAAGACAGAAAAAGAGATAAAACATTATTTTATTGAATTTCTCGCGATATTACGGCCGTAGGATACTTAATGCGCATAGCGACACGCACGTCCGTGTTTAAGCTTGTAATTTACATATCCGTGAAAAAATGCGCGTCCCGTAAATTTTTGACGCGATAACAGATAATTGTCATCGTGTCACTATGCATCTCGTCTTATGCCGTGTCACACGCGTAAAAGAATCGGAGACATCAAACATTTGTAGTTTGTCAGTCTTATCTGTTTTTTGTATTATTCACAAAAGATGCTACGTGTGTCAAATTAGCCCCGCACTTTCTGAATTTTATATTTTTATCAATTGTTCTGTATTGCGCTACGTCTGTGCTGTATTGTGCCGTAAACCGCAATTTTCTAGCTCACTTTTTTATTTTTCAAAAAAAAAATTTTTTGTTTTTTTTTTTATTTTTTTGAAAATGCTTTGAGTTAGAGAGTTGCGATTTATGGCACAATCGTAGCGCAATGCAGCACAATTCATAAAAATTCGGAAAGTGCGAGGCTAACTTCACACCCGTAAAGATGCTGCCGTTACTGCAGACTTGATATTTTATTATTTATAGATGTATATACAATATATATATTTTTTTTAAATACATCTCTCGCACACTTGTTTTAGATAAGTTACACATTAGAGAGAAGAGAAAATGGTAACTTTGCCTTCCTCGTAGGTAACTTGTCTGAATTATAGTAAAAGGCTAAATCTATTTGAAAGAAAATAAAGGAGACGTGTCAATAAGGCCGTTTTTGGACGACGTCAGAATCACTTCAAACTTTGCTATTTTATTACTCTCGCTTTAGGTGCTGAGAATGAAGCACTTTAAGATCTCAGATTTACATGGGATATCACGCATAGTTACAGTGTCTGTCTCATTTAACTGTGTTATTAATGCATGAGCTTCCATTACCATACTTCCTCAAAACTACTCTTATATATGGTATATATACAGGGTGTCCGGTAACTAACGGATCAATGATTAAGGGCGGATTCTCTGGCCAATTTGGAGACGATTTTGTCTTAGCAAAAATGTTGAGAAGTCAATAATTTTCGAGTTATAAGCGATTGAAAAAAATGGGTTTTTTGAAAACTAAACGTTTTGGAGTTAAAAGTCTAACATAATTACATTCTTCAGTTAATTTCAGGTAGAGTTTACTATAATAAAATTTTAATTTGAGGCTTAGTTATAAAGATACATAATGACAAATATTGGAAAATTATAAAAAATGATGACCTTTTTCGACATTTTCGCTGAGGAAAAATCGTTCTCAAATTGACCAAAGAATCCATTTGTAATCGTTGGTCCGTTAGTTACAGGACACCCTGTATATATATATATATATATATACACACTCAGCTAACCATTTCTGCGGAGGCAAATGTAAGCAACAACTTTTGTTTTGTAAAATGGCCGCAGATAAGAAACATATTTTGTCATTTCAAACACTGTGAGCATAAATTCAGTAAATATTTCCCAACATCTGTTAGCAGACTATATTGACAAAGTGGCAATGAGTAGCAAGCAGATCGGATCTAGGATTTTTCTTCGATTTGCTGAACATTTGGCGCAAATCTGTCCTCAATTTACGATTGACAAATCTGTTCCCAGTCTGTTGCCAATCTGTCGTCGCACTGTTAGTGACAGATCTGCTGTGGCATTGCACCCAACTTGATGTTAGGATATACTTTCAACTTTTGATTGCAATTGGAGCGCACTCGAGGACACAGTAGGCCCTGGATTTGCAGTCATATTTGGTCGTATTTTGTTTCCCGATTGTTAACAATTTCCAAGCAAATGATTAGCTGGGTATGCATATGTATGTGCATAAAATATGTCAAAGCGGTTTTTTTATTCCTTTGCCATCATATTAAAATCGAGCTCCGCTTTATTATATTAATACTTGGTGAAAATCATATATACCGATTAAAGTGATTCTGACGTGGTCCAAAAAATGGTCTTATCGACATCTCTCCTTCGTTTATTAGATGTATAGACAAGTGATAAATGAAAGTATCTGCCGCTGAAATAGACTCCGATTCTGTGTATGTACGTGGCAATAACTTGAGGCAAGGCTCTATTTATACAAATATGGAAAAGACCGCTATAAATATTGCGTAAAATAGGGAAAACCGAATTATAGCAGATTTTTCGAATGAAACATTTTATCATCAAAATCACAGAGATATTATATATATTACTTATACCGATATAGAGAATGTATAGGATACAATCTCACTAGTTTCGAAGAGTATAAAACATATCCGTCCTGCATTTATTTAATTCCACTCATTCGATTTGCATGAATTTGCGTTGTTGAATATGCAACAATTTCTTCTTTTCTTTCTTCGGAATGTTGATACATTTCATAATGATAGTTGTCTGTTTCTTACCATTTATTTTCTAAATCTTAGCTTTTCTAATCTTAGCCGACTATAGCGTGGCCTGACTAATTGAAATAAATCAAAAACTTAGAGTAAAAAGTTTGGCAAAAGCCCAACAAAAGATTAATTGCTACGCTCAACTAGAATTTGACAAAAATTTTATTCATATACATAAATGCATATTTTTTTACACTGTCTTATGCAAAATTTAATTGAGCAAGATTTGTTTCTTCTCTAATTGTAATTGCTTTGATTTTCTTTTTGTGCAGAGACGCGAACGTCGCGTAACATTAGCAGTAAAATGTTGTAAAGTTAGATAAAATCTTTCGTAAAGTTGTTTGAGATGTTATCACGTGCCGGTTAATCGCGTGCGGTTAAATTTTTCTTCCTGCAGCGGACGAGGGGCCAATACGCGTGATAGAATTAAAGTGCATTGAGAAGTCACGATTGTATTAAGAGAATTATCGATTAGCCACGTGAATAAAAAAACATGCGATCGCAATCGAAGAATTTTATATTCGAACCTGCTCGTCGCTTTTCCAGCGAATATTGCGATTTATTCGGCAAATGCATACCTCGATTTATTTAAACTCGAAGAATAGATGAATGTCTGCCTCGTGTGTGTGTTTATTCACGTGACATCGTCTAAAAATCTCGTTTAAATTAATACTGGCCTTTCCTTCTTATATATAAAACGCGCGAGAGAGACTAATTATAATTAATTAATAGTTTGACAGGAGTCTCTCGAATGACAATTCTGCGAAACCGTGTATAGGATGATAAAAAGAAAGAGGGATTTTAACAATACTATACTCGACCAATACTATTAATTCTTAAGCTAATAGTACACACACATACAAGGTCCGTAGATTAACGAAGAGGAGAGGGAGGGTCTTCCCACGATGAGTGCGATATTGGATCTACAAAGTATGTGTGAGTGTGTGCCGTACGAAAAAAATAAAAGAGTGTGGTAATTCATAGGAAATTAGGTGAAACCAAGATTAGTATTGTTAGCATTGGACTATAGACTTATGGAGATAGATCCAACCGCTACATATATCTCTGTTTTTCGACGTTGAAACAGTCTTTCGTCAGAGTTGCGCAGTCTATATAGCTACCATTTCACGTGCAGCATACTGTCGCAGCAGTTTGTTGCTATTGGTGAAATTCAATTGAACGAACAGCAAAGGCAGCAAAGCAGAAGAACACGCAACTAGTTGATTCTAATTATTATTATTATATTAGTTAAATAATGGATTTTAAGAATAAAATAGATTAGTATGAAAATATAAAAGCAAAAATTGTACTTTTAACTTTGAAATAACAAGAGAACAAACAAATACGTTCTTATAAATTTTGATCGTGTGACTGTTTTGCTGTTGCAGCATGCTGCGTATGAAAAGGCACCTTATCTCTATAAGTCTATGTATTGGACATATGAAAGATATAGTGGTTTGTCAAGTCATTTTGGTTCTACATGTGTGAAACGAGTGGGAAGATCTTCCCTTTCCTCTCCGTCAATCTACGGATCTCACACACACACATAAACACATAATGAATTTCCTTCTTGCCTCTCTCTCTCTCTCTCTCTCTCTCTCTCTCTCTTTCTTAAGTCTACCTTTTTACTTCTCTCGGAACAAGTACGTCCGTGTAATGTTCGTAAATATCATTAGTCTCTCGATTATTGTAAATCTCGGCGAACGACGACGCACATGCCCGCTGCGCTATGCAATTGACGCTGATCGTTTCTAAGTGTCTTACCATGGATTCATAATGATATCGTAAATTTTCTCTTTAGATTTATTTTCTAGCACAATTTAATACAGAGAAGAATGTGTACATAACCGGCAACTCCAGCACTATGTCCATTCGATGTGATGTAATGAAATGTAAACGTATAAATATATATATAACGAGAGATATATTAATATATTACACAAAGACACGTCACATTTATGATTAGCATTGCATTCTATCTCTCTGCCCCCTACTTCCTCTTCACAATACCTCTCTCCATAATTTTACCGAAAAATAAAAATATACATACTTTGTTACTTTGCTACGTGTTCTCCCCTCTTCGATTATTTCATAAATTTTTTCTCTCTCTCAAGTATTTTTTTTGCAATTAAGATTTGATTTTAGAAATAAAATCTAGAGAATAATTTGTTGCGAGTTTGTTTTATTTTGTATATTTCATATTATTTATATTAAAGTAATGATAAAATATACTAGCTTGCATTTAATAATTTTCTATAACAATATAAGAGTTAGTATCGTGATTGTGAAAAATTTACATGTGAAAACAAAAATATCACTGTTTATTTCCTCTTAAAATTGCCCCCTATTTTTGTTTTACAGAAATTTAAATAAAGCTTGAATCTTCTTATTTTAGTTCCATCTGTTTTACAAAAAAGCGTGACTGTTAAAAGCTTCAGGAGAAGGCTAGTAGCTAGTTTAAAACGTAGCATACACATTAGTTCTTCGCGTATGGTCTAGGATTCTTTGTAGCTAAAGCTTCGTGTGGCTTTATTATGATTTCACATATCTGAAACAGAGAAAACACCATTATATGTGCATATGGTATAATATATAAATTAAACTAAGTTCTATCGTGCACGTGTAATTTTTAATTTTAAAACAATGTTCTACAAATATTTGAGATTGACACATTTTTGATATGAAATATGAGCTATAAATATTAAATAGAATTGTAATAAATCGAAAAATCTCGGATATATAAATATAAATTTAAGATAAAACGGGCTAATAAGAGCTAGGCGCAGAAATTAAGTCCATTAAAACACTTGTTATTAAACACTTCTTTCTATTTAGTTTTAGTCTTCTCTTTGAATCATCTTTATCAGACCGACCGACACCGACTAATGAAAATTACAAGTGTCCCTTGACCTCAATTATATTCTTAACAGTATTCGAGTGTTATTTGCTTGCTAAAGAAAAAGAAGAATCAAAACGTTCAAACTAAATAGAGAAGTATTTGATAACAAATTTTTTACGCCTAGCTTTTATATATTAATTTATTTTCATCCTGAATTTATATTAGCGAGAATAATAATAAAATTAATAGAATAATAATAAAAATAAATCATATACAATTTGTCAAAATTAACAAAAAAACATACTTTTTCTTGCTGATTTATTTAACGAAGAAGTTTTAATTAGATATTATAAAGACATATTTATGAAAGTCATTAAATAATATCTACTTACCTGCACACGTAGCGGCATACTTAAACAATAAATCACCGCATCCGCAATATCGACGTCATGCAGTATTGGGACATCAACGAAAGCATCGCGGATATCTTTGCCCAAGCTGGCGACGACTTCCTTTACCATATCTGTCTTTACCATACCAGGACTGATGCTCTGTGTGTGATTACAAAAATTATGTATTTTTAAATATTACTTGATCATTATTATTCTAATTGTCATTGTGAAAAAAACATCAGTATATATACCAATAAAAAATCATTAAGTCAATAATCAATGATAAAATTAAATAAGAATGGAGATAAATCAACATTTTTCTTCTGCGTTCGACTGTAATAGTGGCTTTGTAATGATAAGATTAATTAATAGATAGTTCGCGTACCGTGACTTTGATATCAAGCTTTGCGTTTACTATTTCGTTGCGCAAACTCGCAGTCATTCCAGTGACAGCATATTTACTAGCACAATAGACATTCACTGGCGAATGGATAGTTTCTGCATAGTGCCCTGCTATACTGTAGATGAGACAAAAATGTAGTTAGCAGTGCAAAATAAACTTGACTTTACTTGACTCTTTGCGAAGTAACGTCAATTACTTAAAAAAATTAACTTTCTTCTTTCAATAATATTTTTGTCGATTATATCTATATAGATAATATATAATATATTTATTACAGTTTATAATGATGGATATTGATCGATAAAATTACAATAAAAAAAGAATAGTCCAAGATAAATTTTTTTGTTTAGAAAAAAATTAAAATATTAATAAGAATAAAAATGTCGGTATTTGTCAAAGATGCATTTTTTGTATTAGTGTAACTAATAATTTTAGTTGTAAATATTTTATATATATAATTTTGTTAGTTTATACATATATTATCCTTTCACGTACCACAGATTTTTTTGTACGCAGAATATTCAAATTTTTGATTAACAATTTTAGTTTTATAAAAGGACTAAATTGCAAAATAGGATATGTGATTATTAAAGTACAGATTATTAAATTATTAAATAAAATTGTACACACACACAAAAGTTTTCTTTGCAATTACGTGAGAGTATTTTTACGATGGCATATATTGCAAGTGTTTGAAATTATATTCATAAACGTAATTAAAATGTTATTTATATCGTATAAACCTTACCTGTTAATATTAATGATATGACCCGAAGCCTTGCGTTTTTTGACAGATTGCACCAATTGCCGCGAACATATCGCCACCGCGAGCACATTTACGTCCAAAATTTTGCGATAAGTCTCCGTTGATCCGTCTTTTAATAAAAAATGTGTTATAAAATAATATATACAAAGTTTGTGAATTCCAAATAAATATGTCGCGTCGCGCGCGCGATAAGATATATCTTTCATTTTCCTCACATAAATGTTTACAAATAAAATATAAACACTTTGGAGATAAAAAAAGGCAAGAAGAAGAAGTAGAAAAATAAGTACCTATAATCGGCTCGACTGAAATCACACCAGCGTTGTTAATTAACACATCAACACCGCCCAATTCTTCCTCTGCCCGCTTAAACACTTGGAGAATTTCCTCTTCCTGTCTGACATCGCATTTCATCGGATAAACTTTGCCGTTACATTCAGAATTAATATTCGTCGCCAATTCTTCCAACTTTTCCAGCCTTCTCGCGATGGCGATCACTTTCATTCCACTCTTGGCGAGCGCTTTCGTGATCTGCGCGCCTATTCCGACGCTCGCGCCAGTGACCAAAGCGACCTTTCCTGCCCAACGATCCATCGCGATGGCAATCCTACGAAAGACTGTCAAGAAACTGATCGTGGATCGCCCTGATATCTTCTTAAATAATGCTTACCCTCACCAACGCGCATCAGTCGCCGATTAGTTAGCGAATCGGAAGAAGGGGACTGGTTGTATATAGAAAAGTCTATTGTACGAAACCTGTTGCAAATCAGCATGGATGATTTTTTGCACGCATTTTGATATGCGCGGCTAAGAGGATTCACTTGAATATTTTACACCTCGCCGAACCGATCTCCGATCTTGTTCGATTCATTCATGGTTGAGTCAACAGAATTTGAATTATTAATTTCCGGCTGTCACATTTTGATAAAAATAATTTTTTTACTAAATTAATACGTATGTTATATTTATAAAATAATTTTCTAAATTTTCAAACCTTGTTTAAGTTTTTTTGCATTCCTTTCATACATACATATATACAATTAATAATATTTTAACAGTATATTGCACAAAGACACGTCACATTTCTGATTAGCATTTGCATCCTTTCTCTACCTTCCCCCCCTTCCACTCTTCCGTCAACCTTTCTACATAATTTTACAGAAAAATGAAAAGATACATGCTCTGTTACTTTCTGCTACGTGTTCTCACCTCTCCGATTATATTTTATCAATTTTCTCTCTCTCTCTCTCTCTCTCTCTCTCTCTCTCTCTCTCTTCATCTTTCTTTCTCAAGTATTTTTTCGCAATTAAGATCGGAATTTAGAAATAAAATCTAGAGAATAATTTGTTGCGAGTTTGTTTTATTATTTTGTGTATTTCATATTTTTCAAAGGCAATCTCTCCAACAGTAATTACATTTTGGCAGGAAATAAGCAGTTACCGAAAAATACATTTGTTTTAACCGAATTAAAATAATGACAAAATACTAGCTTGCATTTTTACTAATTTTATATAACAATATAAGAGTTAGTATCGTGATTGTGAAAAATTTACATATATAAATACAAAAATATCATTATTTCTTTTCTATTGTCTCCTTTTTTGATTTACAGAAATTTAAATAAAGCTTGAATCTTCTTTTTTTAGTTCCATCCGTTTTACAGAAAAGCGTGACTGTTAAAAGCTTCAGGAGAAAGCTAGTTTGAAACGCAGTATACGCATTAGCTCCTCGCGTATGGTCTAGGATTCTTTGTAGCTAAAGCTTCGTGTGGCATTATTATTACTTCACATATCTGAAACAGATAAGCACCATTATATGTGCATGATTGGTATAATATTTAAATTAAACCAAGTTATCTCTCGTGCACACGTGTAATTTTTAATTTTAAAACAGTATTCTACAAATTTTTTTTTTGAGATGACACATTTTTGACATAGAATATGAGCTACAAATATTTGAGATGACATTTTTGTCTTAGAATATAAGCTATAAATATTAAACAAAATTGTAATAAATTGAAAAGTCTCTAATATATAAACATAAATTTAGAATGGTAACGGAATAATAAGAGCCAGGCGCAGAAATTAAACCCCTTAAGAGACTGTTATTAAATAATTCTTTCTATTTAGTTTCGATCTTCTCTTTGAACCATCTTCAGTAGACCGACTAATCGAAAATTGCGAGTGTTTCTTGACCTCAATTATATAATAAACAGTATTCAAGTATTGCTTGCCTGCTGAAAAAAAAGTAGAACCGAAACGCTGAAATTAAATAGAAAAATATTTGATAACAAGTTTGTTACGCCTAGCTTTTACATTAACCTGTCTCTATCTTGAATTTCTATTACAGAGAATAATAATAAAATTAAATCATATACGATTTGTCGAAATCAAGAAAAACATAAAGGCCTATTTTATAAACTCACATTCTACCTCTAGATGTTCTATCTCTATAGTTAGAGGTACTTCTAAAGTTTGAGACACAGATAAATGTATCCAAGGGCACATTTATCAAAAGTAAATGTGGTTCAAAATAGGTTTTTTTGGATGTCTCTAAATGTGCGCTTAATAACTACTAAATGTGCGCTCATAATACCGCCATATTTATCGTGGCACATTTAGAAACAAATCTAGAGATAGAGGTACGCTCATAATACGACTCTATCTAACTTTAGATGCGCCTCTAACTTTAGAGGTATAAATCTAAAGATATAAATATGAGCTTATAATACAGGCCATTATCTTTATCTTGAGGATTCATAAAACGAAGAATTTTTTATTAGATATTATAAAAACACATTTATTCGAACACATTAAATCATATCCACTTACCTGCACACGTAGCGGCATACTTAAACAATAAATCACTGCATCAGCAATATCGACGTCATGTAGTACCGGAAGGTCAGCGAAAGATTTGCGGGCCTCTTTGTCCATGTTAGATAAGATATCCGTTACCATATCTGTCTTTACCATACCAGGACTGATGCTCTGTGTGTGATTATGAAAATTATATATTTTTAAATATTACTTGATCATTATTATTCCAATTATTATCGTTGTGTGTGTGTGTGTGTGTGTGTGTGTAAAAAAAAACATTATTATATAATATATACCAATAAAAAAATTATTAACTCATTAATCAATGATAAAGTTACATAAAGAGGGAGATAATTCAACATTTTTTTCTGCGTTCGACTATAATATTAGCTTTGTATTGATAAGATTAATTAATAGATTGTTTGCGTACCGTGACTTTGATATCAAGCTTTGCGTTTACTATTTCGTTGCGCAAACTCGCTGTCATTCCAGTGACAGCATATTTACTGGCGCAATAGACACTTATTGGCATATTAATACTTTCTGCATAGTGCCCTGCTACACTGTAAATGACACAAAAAATTAGTAGTGCAAAAAAATTAATTTGACTCTTCTTTGCGAAGTAAAATCAATTACATAAAAAATTAATTTATTTTTTCTTTCAATACTATTTCTGTCGGTTGGTGGGACCGTTCTTTTGCGGACGGCTCCGTGACCGACTCGGGCTCTAGGGCGGGCATCTATTGTCGAGGAAAAGGGACCAGCGATTCGATCGGAAGATTTACCATCGTTTTCCAAGCGGAAGTGATGGCAATCATGTGCTGTGCTCAAAACCTTCTTGCCAACAAGACCAGGGAAGAGCACATCAGCATTCAGACAGTCAAGCGGCTCTTAGAGCTCTTGACTCATCGGCCTTCAACTCCGGACTGGTCTGGGACTGGAAAGCGGCCCTGGAGGATCTGGCAAGGAGCAATAAGGTTGCTCTGGTATGGGCCCAGCATTTGCTCGGATACAGGCAGTCGAGAGCGCTGCTTAGGGACTCTCCGAGCAAGGACCTTGCTGCAGGCATCAAGAGACTGAGCAAAAGGAAAGCTGGGCTGGTGACGCGTATACTAACTGGGCACGGCATCCTCAACTATCATCTGCACAAGCTGGGACTCAGCAACAAACCCAAGGGAATGTGATGCACTGGAGAAAACCAGTCTCCACGTGCTGTGTGACTGCCCGACGTATGCAAGAGCAAGATTCGATCTGCTGGGATTGGCCTTCTTGAGGCCGTAGCAAGTAAGCAACTTCTCGGTTGGGGACTCCTCCGCTTTTAGGGAAAAGTGGGCCTCGGCTAAGGGCTACTTTTGTCTGGACTTTGTCCACACAACTTTGTCTGCGTGCCTTAGGCTTCTATACGAGGCCGTTCCCCCCTCTTTTTTATTATTATTGTTATTATTATCTCTATTGATTATATCTACGTAATAACAGATAATATATTTATTAAAGTATACAATGATAGATATTTATCAATAAATTATAATAAAGAGAGAATAGCCTAAAATAAATCTTTTTGTTTAGAAAAAAAATGATATTAATATAGAATAAAAATGTCGGTATTTCTCAAAGATACATTTTTTATATTAGCGTAATAAATAATATTAGTTGCAAATGTTTTATATAATTACGTTAGCTCATACATATATTGTACTCTTTCATGTACTATAGATTTTTTGTACACAGAATATGCAAATTTTTTGATTAACAATTTTTGTTTTATAAAAGGACTAAATTGTAAGATAGAATGTGATACAGATTATTAAATTATTAAATAAAACTGTATATATATAAAATTTTCTTTGTAATTATGTGAGTGTATTTTTTCGATGGCATACTGCAAGTGTTAAAATTATATTCATAAACGTAATTAAAATGTTATTTATATCGTATAAAGCTTACCTGTTAATATTAATGATATGACCCGAAGCCTTGCGTTTTTTGACAGATTGCACCAACTGACGCGAACATATCGCCAATGCAAGCACATTCACGTCCAAAATTTTGCGATAAGTCTCCGTTGACCCCTCTTTCAATAAAAAAGAGTGATAAAATAATATATAGCTTGCATATCAAATTAATTGTAAATATTTTAAATATATATGTCGCGTCGCGCGCGCAATAAGATATCTCCTAATTTTACTCTCATACATTTGTACAAATAAAATATGCATTTTCGAGAAGAAAAAGGAAAGAAGAAGAAGCAGAAAAATAAGTACCTATAATCGTCTCAGGTGAGGCCACACCAGCGTTGTTAATCAACACATCAACGCCGCCTAATTCTTTCTCCGCCCGCTGGAACACTTGAAGAATTTCCTCTTCCTGTCGGACATCGCATTTCATCGGATAAACTTTGCCATTACATTCACGATTAATATTCGTCGCCAATTCTTCCAACTTTTCCAGCCTTCTCGCGATGGCGATCACTTTCATTCCACTCTTGGCGAGCGCTTTCGTGATCTGCGCGCCTATTCCGACGCTCGCGCCAGTGACCAAAGCGACTTTTCCTGCCCAATGATCCATCGTGATGGCAATCCTACGAAAGACTGATCGTGGTTCGCTTGGAAATTCTCTTTTAATACTTACCCTCACCAGCGCGGACTAGTCGCCGATTAGGTAATGAATTGGCAGAGAGAGACTGGTTGTATACAAAAGTCTATATTATGCGAAACCTGTTGAAAATCAACATGATAATTTTTTGTACGCATTTGCACATGCTGAGAAATTTTACTTGCATATTTTACACTTCGTTGAACCGATCTCCGATCTTGTTCGATTCATTCATGATTGAGACAACAGAATTTGAATTATTAATTATCAGCTCTTACAGTTTAGTAAAAATAACTTTTTACGATATTAATATGTATTTTATATTTTTTACATTTTTAAACATTATTTTAATTTTTTTGCATTTCTTACATACATCCAGTCAACTATTTGCTTGAGAATTGTCAACAATCGAAAAACAATTTTCTACCAAATACGATTGCAAGTCCAGGGCCTACTGTGTTCTCGAGTGCGCCCCAATTGCAATTAAAAGTTAAAAGTATATCCTAACATCAAAAGTTGGGTGTAACGTTAGAGTAGATCTGTCACTAACAGTGAGACGACTGATTGACGCAACAAACTAAGAACAGATTTGTCAATTGCAAATTGAAAACAGATTTGCGCCAAATGCTCAGCAAATCGAAGAAAAATAATTAAGTAAAAAAAGAAAAAAGCAAATAAAAAACATTTGATAATTTATAATAATTAAAAAAAATAAAAATAATCTATTATAATGTATAAATGCGTATATTTTTGTTAGTCAAATCATATTTTCAAAAAAAAAACGTATATAACATATATCTTTTTAACTACATTTGGTACATCTGTGTGCTTTTGTTATCAATTTAACATTTCGACAGATCTCCAGAATCTGCTGCGTTTCTGGCATCAATCTTTTATCAACGATTTCGATAGATCTGCTTGTTACTCATTGCCACTTTGTCAATATACATAAAGTCTGCGTACTAGTGTGATTTGGGAGATATTTACTGAATTTATGCTCGCAATGTTTGCAATGACAAGATATATTTCTCATCTGCGGCCATTTAACAAACAAAAGTTGTTGCCTACATTTGTCTCCACAGAAATGGTTAGCTGGGATACAATTAATAATATTTTAACAATATCTGTAAAATGCATGTATTTTTTGTTAGCAATAATAATACATGCGATACATATTTTAAATATGTAATAAAAAAAAAATTTCGTTTTTTTTTCTTTTTCTACATAGATATTTCTACCAGAAAGAACAATTTTAAACTTGCGTGTTTCAGTGTAATTGTATAAATTGTGCCAATTCATCGCGTGTGATATCTATTATTTTTATTTACATAAGTCTGAACATGACTTGCTTATTTGTCGAGTTATCGTGTAAGTTTTAGTTACGATCTATATATATTCTAATGTCATATTTTGCAATACATATATATTTCAAAAATCTACTATTTGACATTCTACTATATAATAATAACAGCTATTATAATGTTCGAATTTGACGAAATTAACCAAACTTAAAATGATATTGAGATAGGAAAAAAGAAATATTTAAGACATTTTATTATTTCACTTCCATAATATTTTATTCTATCGAAAATTTCTATCGATTTTTTATTACATATTGTTAAATTTAACGATATTTTACAATATTACAAATCGTATAAACCTTCGAGAATTTATGTGTTCAAAATGCCGATGAAGAGAAAAGAACTATTTCAACTACATATATAAATTGACTGATTTCACACATCGCTAATAAACGCTATTAAAAGCTGTAGTCTAGTAATCATAAAAAATAAACACGTGTTTTATCTTTCAAGTTAATCTCGTCCTTATCATATCAACAACGCGATAACAATATCTCATATATATATCTCATATTTATACAAGAGTAAATTTATATAAGTGTATGCAAAATGCATATATTTTATGCTTTTTTTCATAAAACCATATATGCTTTTTGATAATGTATAAGAGTTTACTTCTGTAATAATTTAATATGAGATTTCAAAGTAGAAAATGTCAACAAAATAAATAATATTTATAAATATCATAATGATATATACAGCTATGTAAAATAAAAAATATAAAGTTTACCTGTCAATGTGAAAATTTTAATAAGTCTAATTAAGTATATACTTTTTACTTTTACAATATACATACGCGTTGTTTAGTAAACTCTCATATAGCGCGATAAAAAATTTATTAGGGGATAGGAAGAAAAAATAATTTCCAAATTGTTAGAAAAATGTTCTCTGTTTTTCTAACAATCATCGCATTGAGAACGAAACATCGCATAAAAAGCCAATTACGCAGTCAAGGTAGTTATAATAATAAGCAGTTATTTCTACTGGAAAAGAAAGAGATAAACAAATAATTGAACAAGTTGAAAATTACATGTTTATTCTATATGATTATGTAAGGCCCTGTGGCTAAACGATAGCTATTTAAAACGTTGGCCTTGCATACATAATCATGCAGGAAACGCTATTCTACAATAGATAATACACGGATATATATATATATATATATATGGATAAATATGTGTGTACGGCGGTATCTTTTAATATTTTAGTAATTTATAATTTTAGTAATTTATAAATATATACATATAATTTTTCTAATTTTGCACATTTTTATAATATATAATTATTGCGCGATAATAATCCGACAATTTTCTATGATGCAAATTCGTATGACATATTCTCACATGTATTGTTGCCGTTTTTCCGCGTTGCTGATTGGTTGTCTCGATTCGCACTGTGTGTTATATTATATCAAACAGTTGTCATTGCGAAGGTTAATAGTTTGACAGTTATTCTAAACAATATATTAAATCAAAGCATATAAAATTAATAAAATCAATGGCGCGCGCTTGTGCTGTCTAGTAACGTAAAAATTGCAATATGTCTGCAATGACGTCTCGTATATGCAGTGAACATTGTTATATAATACGATAAATAAATTTCAAATTTATGAAACATTTTCTTTTATAATAAATATAAATTTTCAAATTTTTTATAAACCACGAGTATAAGATACAAAACCTTTCTCTCGCATTATATAATATATCATATGCATTATACATATATGATAATTCTATTGTATTTAATGTGCAATATTTCTTATCAAGAAAATAATACTAGTTTACAACCAAAAATTATTTTAAATCAGACAAAGTGTTTTGTATAAATTTTTGAATACTGAAAATGATGTCGCAAACCAAATATCACTAGCACGTCCGATTTCAAAAATAATTGAGGTTTAATATGTAAAAAAGTAAAATGGCTTTTTATGATATTTGAGATTTTTTTGTAAAAAAGATTATCTGAACAGTCCGCTCAGATATTATGTATGTATTGTTTATCCCTTATAAAATGCATTTTTTTTTATTTCATCGTACTTTTTAATCATGTTATGAAAGATTAAAGCTGAAAATTACTTTTCTAATGGAGATGCTTCTATTAGGAAAAAAGGTTTTTGGAAAAAATTATTCTCACCAAAATTACTTTTATTTGTTATTATTGATCTCCCTTTAGATCATATAACTTATCTGGAACATTTTTTCGAAAATGCATTTGTTTCAAAAATTTTTAAGTGGGCAATTAAAATGAGACACCCTATATATAAATATACATTAAGTGGAATCTATTTCGATAAGTTACACTGTGTATGTGTGTGTGTCGATAATTTTAAACTACAAATTATGAGTATAATTATATAATTATATATGATTTCATCATTATATAGGCGGAATATTTGCTATTTCACCAAAATCCTGTTTCTTTTTTAAATTCTTTCTAACATGATACACAAGTATAAGATATCGAAATAAAAAGAATGCATTATACGTGACTTTTGATAATAATTTCACAATAATCTTGACCTTTTTTACAAAAAAAATTTAATATCCTAAAAGAGTCATTTTTTTGCATATTAAACCTCAATTATTTCGAAAACCTATGCTGGTGAATTTTGGCTTGCGGCGTTGTTTTTAGCATCTAAAAAACTATAAGACCTTGTCTGGTTTCAAATAATAAAAAAGAAAATTTTGTAAGTTAGTATAATCTTTCCTTGACTATATATGATATATGTAAATATTATTGTGAAGTTACGAGAGTCGACAGGGTCAATAATTCAAATGATTAGATTATCGTAAACGGTAATGAGAGCGCGTTAAAGCATATAGAGTTTACAAATTTCATCCAGTAATTGACTTTGCCTGATCTTAGGGGAAGAAGGAGAAATACAATCACTTCCTTTCGTCGCGTTACGCAAACTTAAACAGGATCAATAGGATAATAGAGGGGACGGATCGTTTGCCGGAAACATCTCTTTACCAAAGGATTAACAAACTCGTTAGCTTAGTCGGCTACTATTAATGTATAACGTATCGTCTTACGTGGTGAAAATGTTTGGTCTTGCTTCGCAATGTTTGTGCGTATATATAAGAGCATGGGAATATTAACTTAACGCTTCGGTTTCATTACTAATCTCACAAAAACCAAATGAACGAAAATTGACTACAATTAGAGTAATTACAAAGAAATTCAAATAACAGATTGTTAATAAAATTAAATTGTTGTGATAAAATTTCATGCGTCAAATAAAAGGTTTAATTAATTTATACATATAGCTGATATTTCTGCGCTTTTAAAAATATTGAAAAAACATTGATAGAATTTTTATTTTATAAAAAAATATTAAACATAACTTCACGTTTGGTTTTATTATTATTTTTACGTCAGAAACCAATTTTGAGCAAAGAAGGATTAAAATTAAAATTATTATAGAGGAATTTAGGTAACATAGATTGTCAAAAAAATTGATGTGATAAAAAATCACGCATCAAATAATAAAAATTTGATTAATTTACAGCATATTTCTGCGCTTTTCAAAAAATATTATAAAAATACTTGAGAGTTTTTATATTTTATAAAAGAATATAAAATAACTTCACGTTTTGTTTTATAATTAATTTCACATGAGAAATCAACTGTGTGAACAAAGATAGA